CGTAATCCGAAATAGGAAGTCTGTTGATGTGAAGCAACTTACAAATGAGAACAGTTAGAGCGAAAGAGGTAAATCCTACGATGGAGGAGGCATAGGATATAGGAGCAAGCTGCGTAGACATGGTCTTGAATTGAGGTTATAAGACATAGGTATAGGTATAAAAATAAAAATAAAAATAAACACCGAGGAACAGACTCCGGGATTTGCGGATGGGATTTTGAAATATGGGATACAGTAGAGTAGAGGGGCTGCGAGATAAGATCAGATCATCTGCAGATGCGGAGTGAAAGTAAATAAAGCCAAGATCACTGGTTGCCGGTAGTCAGGGGTTTTGATTTGCAGACACTTTCGCCCCTCAGCTGAGCTACTGCACCTGCACATCAGCTACGGGACGCTATGACGCTCTACGCTGGGGAGATGTGGCGATGCAAAACAGGCAAGAGCTTGGGCATGACATGCAACGACACTTCGCATACAAGTACAAGCAAGTATTTCTCTCTTTGTCTTGCTTTTCTTCTTCTTCTTCTTCTTCTTCTTCTACTTTTCTTCTTCTCTCACCAACAATCAATTCTTCACCTTTCAATAACAGACAATATCCGCGACCATGCTAGAATACTTTACAAAAACAAAGTCCAAGAAACCCCAAGCTGAGAAGACAGGAAAGGAAGCATTGGCACGAGTCAAAACTCCGCCTCCTCTAATCGATGAAGAGGATGAGCGCTTTCTTGAGCGTATTGTCTCTGCTGAAGGCCCGCCACCGCCTCTTCCTGCAAGACCAACATTTGGAACCGAGGCTGGAGATCCAACTGGCAATGCATCCCAGGTGGTAGTTCATGAGCAGGATAATCATCATCGACGCAAAAGCCACGAGCGCAAGAGCCATGAACGTCGTCGAAGCAGCGACAAGGGAAAAGGAAAAGACAACGAAAAGGCCACCGCAGACTCCAAGAAAGCCAACCGTTTCTCCTTCCTCCAACGAACCTTCACCAAGAAGGTAACAACACTCACCATGCTCTACAAACACAGCTAACAAGCCCAGGACAAACATGCCGACCTCAAACCCGCTTCCAATGTCCCACCTACAGAAGCCCTCTCAGAAGAAGAAGACCTCTCCCACATCCTCGACGACCTCTCCCTCTCCGCCCACAACAACAAAGTCTTCAGCCTTTCCACCGAATCCCAAAAGCTCGTGCAGGAATTCACAGTTATCCTCAAAGATCTCATAAACGGCGTTCCCACCGCCTATGACGACCTTACGCACCTCCTCGATAAAGACTCAGGCACACTCTCCAAACAATATGAAAAATTGCCTAGCTTCCTGCAGAAGCTCATCACAACCTTGCCGGACAAGTTGACCAAGAACATCGCACCTGAATTGTTAGCCGTGGCGGCTGAAGCACAGGCCTTTAATACCGCCGGCGTGAGCGCGAGCTCAGCGGGTTTGAAAGGGGCTGCGAAGAGCTTTTTGACACCGAGTTCCCTCAAAGATCTAGTTACGAAGCCTGGGGCTGTAGTTAGTATGCTAAAGGCGATTATGAATGCGTTGAAGCTGCGTTGGCCAGCGTTCATGGGGACGAATGTCCTTCTATCAATAGGTCTATTCGGTATATCCCCCCTTCCTTCCTTTGCTATTTTGAAACCTATGCTAATTGCATCCAAACAGTATTATTATTTGTTTTCTGGTACTGCCACAAACGCGGCCGCGAAGTCCGTCTGGATCGTGAACGCAACGAGAAAGGCGAACCCATCGATAGTAACGGTCGTGTAATCGAGCTTGATGACGACCCCATGCTCGATGCCCCCGGACCGAGTCGTTCGCATACACACAGTCGAGCAACCTCTCATGATTCGCGCAGGAGGCATGAACACACGGGTTCTGATTCCTCGCGTAGACGTGAACATCGCCCGGAGTCTTCTTCTGGCAGACGCGAGCACACCGGCTCCGATTCGTCGAGAAGGCGTGAGCATCATCGGGAAGAACGCCCTGAGTCTTCGGGTAGACGCAGAAGTCATGGGAGTGGAGAGAGGAGTGATAGGGGGAAAGAAAGGGAGAGGGATGTGGAGCATGAGAGACGGCATTGAAAATGATGAGAGATACCCTTATGATGTATGACTTAGTTTAACTTTGCGGGTTTCGGTTTTTATGATAGCTAAGTAGCGATACGAAAATTAGGATGGGATACGATGGGAACACGGTATATTTTCTAATCACAACTACTATTTGCTTTCACTGTTGACAGTGCTATTTCAAAGGCTAATTGGCATTGGTACTATAACGCCACGTTACTTCATATTTCACTCCGACCTTGTCAAGCACGCATATATTCACTTGTAGACATCAGAGTAAGTTTATAAATCAATGCAATTCCTATGCGATAACATGCTATGCAGCGCCAGTATTGGGTATTTTCCATTCCGTCCGACAACGCCGTTCCTGATAGCAAATGAAAGCCAGCCAGTGTTAATATGCAGATCCCCTCCCGTATAGCTATTGTATTCTGTGTACAGTGGAGACTGGAGAGAGTGTACCTGTATGTGTTTGTTGTGCTCATGAATATGACATCTCTTTTGCGAATGTGAGTGTGAATTATCGGCCGTAATCTGAACGGCGCCCCAGCATCACTTCTAGATCTTGATCTTCTTTCCAGGTTTGAATTCAGCGTCGTTTTCATCATCGTATCCTCGACTGAATTTCTGACCGTTCTTCGTCTGTTGCTTATGTTAGCATATATGAGATGAGAGGAGCCGAAAACTTACCAATGATCGACGAGGAGGCAGCACATTTTGTTGCTCCTTCAACTTCTTCGGCACTACCGTCTGCGGCTTCGATTCAGGCTTTGCTTGAGTCATGATGGTATTTAGAAAGGCTGCAAAGTCATCCACCTCCTTCTGAGTGATCTCAATGTCCCTCAAGTACATGTCATTGGGCTTGGTGACGTTGATACGATCGAGGCCCCTAATTGCAGCAAGGGCATCAAAGCCATTGGCCATGCGGAATCTCTTCACTTCCGGAACAGTGTGATGAGACCATTGATATCTATGATGTCCCATAGGTATGTCGATGCAGTACTGCGTGAGCGACAAGTTGACCACTTTGAGGTTGGGACATTTGCTGTTGAGCAATTCGAACAACTGTGGATCCTTCTTGGAAAATGCCCACCAGCCGTAGCTGACTTCCCGAACATTGCTACAGATGTACTTTTCGATCAACTTGAACTCTTTAGTTATATCAAGCTTAAAGACGTTGCGGAAGAAGAACTTCTCCGTCTCCTCGTGGATTTGTTTGCAGGTCGCTCGAAGATTGAATGCCATCGAGCCCTTCTTGCCGGTGCCATAGCGATTGTAATGAATCGGACTAGGTGCAACGATAGCAAAGTCATAGATGCGATATCGCAGCTCAATTGGAAGCTTTTGAAATCTGAAGAGGTCCGCCTCTGTTGAATTATTAGTACCGTGCGTGGCACACGTGACAAATTCTGGTATTGAGTTGGACTTACTGGCACTGGAAACGGCCTGGCCTGCCTTCAGCTTCAACTGATTCCAGTCTTGATCGGCGAAATCGAGTAGATTGAGAAGCGCGGGTGTGTTCTTGATCTGGCTGCCGATCTCTTCGGACGAGAAGCGCTTCAAGTCTACCTGGGAGAGGTTGATTAACTCATACTTGCCGCTGGCTAGCTGTCTGACAATGCAGAATCCATCTTGAAGTTTGGCCTTGGTAGAGAACCTTTCAAAGACAGGTTTTGGGGGTGCCGCGGGCTCGACGACAACCTCTTCGATCTCAGGCTCTGCCGCCGCAGCAGTCTCAGGTTCGACATCTTGATCAGACTCCTCTTCCTCTTCTTCCTCCTCATCCGGGTCAGCATAGCTGATATTCTTAGGAGGGAGTGTGCCACTCTTGTTGCGTGTCGTTGGCGGCATGGTAAATTTGGCCAAGGACGGTTACTCGAAGATCTGTATTGGTCTGAAGATGAGATGGAGGGCGAGGAAGATGGTTGAAAGGACAAGGCAACTGTTGGTCGTGCTGCCGAAGTTTCATGTTAAATAAGTAGACAGGATGAGGAAGTCACGATGTCGAGTTGCAAGCGCGTCGCTTAATATATGGAAGGTGCGTTTGGATCCGGATGAATTGGGCAGGACTTGGGCCGTGTGACACTTGTGAAGGATTTCAAAATACAAACCTTAATTGATTCATGTCAGGGTAAGATAGATTAGGTAGGTAAGAGTGATTGAATCACGACCTCAGTCAATCTTCTGATGACTACAATCACATGACTAGCCTCGTCTACTGCCCCTGACCCAGTATTCCTAATATAGGATGAAATGGCTACCTTGTTTTCTGTACATGAAACCTATTCCATACCTATTTATCGCATAAGCTTGAATAAGTTTAAAGAAAGCGGGGTCCATTCTTCTAGCGGAACCTTTCATCATAACAATTGGTTTGTTTATTTGCACCTTAAGTTAGGCATTTAGCCATATAATTTAGCCGACCCAAAGGAATGATATAGAAATGAACACAAGGGTGGCTAGGACCACCTTGGAACCAATCCTACGGGAACAATCTTCCCAACCTACTCCGTACGAGGCTTTGCATATTCAATATTAGTAAGCAAGTTTCGGGAAACTGCGTCCCGAATATGCACTCATTCAGCTGACTGGGATCAAAGTTACAGACGCACAAGTGTTTCTTTCTGCCATCATTAGTCATATTTCCTATAACTATTAACAGAGCCATAAACTCCCCCCCACTCCCCCATCATCTTTTGTCCCCAACTTCCCTCTAACATCATGCGGAAACCCCTCTCTATCAACTGCCCCATTTGTACTTGAAATTCCCTGACGGTCCGTTGCCGCCTGCAATGTGAAAAGTCCACATGGAGCCCAGCGTAAGGTTGAACATGTCTGGAATTCTTCAAAGATCTGTTAAAGTAACGTGCACTTTCCTTAGATATCATAAGTGTCTTCGAGAACGAGTCGTCCAAGGAGACTTATAGTACTGGTCTCTTACTGTTCATTAATAACCTATCCAAATCATTCGAAATATCATGGAGGCTTGAGGTGTAAAAGAACATTCTATACATATATTGAGGATGGTAGGTGAAATACAGTTACTGGATGAGAATACATTAAAAACAGTGCAACCCGATCAGCGCGGGGTATGGCGGGGCCAGGGGGCTCGCTTAGGGGGTGCTAGCTTAATATTCAGACCACTAACCCCCTGAATTTCAGTCTCTCACAGACGGCCTACGTATTAGTGTAAAAACTCGAGTTTAAAGTAAGTTGCATTTAAATTCCAAATTAGTATCCATGTTTGCATGTAATACTGTCGTCTAGTTACCACCAAAAAGTGCTTCACGACGAGACTTCGAAGCAGGGTTGTAAAAAGGCTTCTCTCCCAGCGATACAACTCTATTGCCCTGACGCTTGCCTTCGTAATCGTTTGTGGCGGTATGGAAAACGGAGCGACTGATACGCTATCAGCATTTGTTTTGTTTAGCAATATAAGAATGCACTCACTTGTCCCAAATCGCAAGATCATTCTTATTCCATTTGAATCTAACTTGCAGGTCGTGGTTCTCGGTAATAAGTTTGAGGACTGCAAACATTTGTTAGCTATAGGGTTTGGTCTGGCAACTCAACGTACAATATGCTTTGATCACTTCGCTCTCCGTCTCAGTCACATTGTCCACCCAGCCAGCGTGGACTTGATGACCGGTACCGAAAAGGCTCTTCCATCCCGTGACGGGATTTGTACGCACGACCGGGCTATATTCATTGCACCTCGTCAGTCCCGCAAGTTCTAGTCCCTCTGAGCTGGGTGAGAGATGAGACTCACTGTGATGCCGCAAAGTCAAGTCCCTTGTTTTCAGGAGCGCCACGGTCCTGATCGAGAAGCTCAAGACTGTGCTCCGCAGCCACTTTGTTGAAGTTTGGCTAAATTTGATTAGTCTTCTTGCGAGAAAAGGCGATGGGATTAGAGAGATGTACTTGGTAATGGGTAGCCGTCAGCCCCTCAGCAAAGCGCTGCCACACTGGCGAGAGACGATCGAATGCCTCGTAGCCAGATGCCCACAGTGTGTCTCCTCCAACATCTTCTGGTGTCTTGGTGATTTTCAGAATAGCATAATCAGATGGAACCCGTTCAAAAGTGATGCTACAGAGATTTTAGTCTTAAACTTCGAAAGTTTGCATATTGATACCCACTCGGCGTGCCATCCTTCACTGGCAAGCTTCTTTGAACTGCCGAATAGGTTATGATACAGCTTTCTTTGCTGCTACAGGACGATTGCTTATTAGCGCCACAATTTCCCGAATGGGAAGGCTAAAACATACATCGGATGAGATTACTGAAACTTCATCATCGAGCTTCCCGTTCTCATCTACGGCAATACCTCTCTTGCTGTTGCTCAAAGCATGCTTGTGCAGCTAAAAGCTGTCATTATTTGGTATAATTAGAAGTGATCTCTTGATATACCTTGCTTGTTGCCGGTTTGCCCGTCAATTCTCCCAGCTTCTGCCCCAAGATTTTCTGGTCTTCAATATTGATGTCTTGATTTCTGAAAAATACAACACCTCTCTGGGAGACTAGGATATACTCAGTATCACAGAGACTTGTTTCATATGCAGCAGAGCAGGGGTGAAAAGGTAAGTCACTAATTAGACATACCCAGGATAGCAAGATCTCGAATCTTGGCATCGTCGCTCAGAATATCAGTGATCTGGAGGTTTGGGAACTCTCTTCCAATGATTGATGTCAGATCAAAGGACTCATAGTGATCAAGTGTACCCGAATATACTAAAGGCGTTGGATATGATGCACTTTGGGTCAATCCACCAAGGCTTTTCTTGATCTCGGGGATGGTGCGGGATTTCGATGGAATCGATGGAGTGGGAGTAAAGTCTTCATCATTGGCAGATGGAGGCGCCATTGTGATTATTGAGAGTGGTCTAGAAAGAAGGAGATACAGTTGAAGTGAGCAAGTATGATTCTGAGCTAGCAGAAGCAGAAGTGCGGGTCACAGATGGCACTTCAATATTCCGAACAGATGCTTGCTTATGTATTTAGCAAGATTTAGATTCGCAATCTCTCCGCTCTACTGCGTGCTTCCTTCAAGCATCTATGTGCAAGTACTGAAGCTTCTTCGAATCGCACGCCAAGCGGAAGCCTAAAAGCCATAGGACACCACGGCGTCTTCGTAGGCTCCATTCATTCGTTTTAATATCCCTACAAATAGGGCGAATCGGCATGTCGGCGAATAGAACGTACTTACTGCTTATCGCAGCACTTTTGTGGTTCTATATTTCGGTTGCATTGCATTCTTTGAAGAATGAGGGGTTGAAGATTGCGCAAGAATAGTCCTGTATGACATGATTGATTATAGTACGTGAGCAATGGCTTTTGAAAGGTGGGATATAGCACATGCTAAATTCCAGAAATGGCCGAAGATAACTTTCTGAAAGAACATAGTGTTTAGGAAGTGTAGTCTGGATGCTGACCCCGCTTATTTGTTTCAGCGCCTTGGTCGCCAAAGCTACAGGGCTCACATGCTACAATTCAATGGCCAAACACTAGAAAGTGAAGTGTGGCAGTTATATAATTCAGTTCTATAGCAAATCAAACAGACATGTCGGATATCCACTTTTCATGTACGCCAATTTACAGTATATATTCCAAAACAGCTTGGCTATATTGCGTCCATGGAATGGCAAGTTAAGGCTAAGCGAAAAGGGGAAGAGTCATAGCAATTCAGCGATACATTTCAAAGGAGCAGCAATTTTGTTCAAATCTAAGCATATATACATGATTGTATGGTTGAAAGGTTTGAGTACGCATGCCATAAACCAGCAGGTATCACTTCGGAAGTACGTCCATCGATTCTAAGTTTGTAACTGTCACTCAAAACCTAGGTCAAATCCCCCATGTGACACGCGCAACTAAAGACCATTCTCCGTCTATTTAGAATTCTCAACAAAAACTGGGCGCTCTCCCTGCGGAGTGATCCGAACCATATGGCGCCGTGTCCTAGCTGGCTCGACTTTGAAGTCACGCAGGGCCGAGCTCGACGAATTAGTTTTAGCAAATAATAAAGGCGCTGGCAAGGTACTTACTGCTGAGTCACGCGGTTATCGTATACAACTACCGTACCTGGCGTCCAGTGGACTCTGAGATGCCAATCTTGCCCTTTTTCGATGTGGTCGAATAGGAAGTTGAGGAGATAAACTGACTGATTAACTGACTGTAATACAATTGTAACAGGGTTTATATCTTACAGCTTTCTTCTTCTTTCAAGCCCACTATTTTCTTGGTGTAGAGCCGATTGACGAACACTGATTTCGTTTTTGTAACCTTCGATTCGTGAGTACTTGATTTCTTGATTACAGGCCAGGGAATGCTAACCGGATGAGTGCGAACAACTGGATGAACAGTTTCAATTGGTGCTCTGATATGACGTTTCTCACCATCCGTGACATTGTATTGCTGAACACCGGAATGTACGGCACTTAGCGAATGAAGTTTCTCCCGGAATATTGGGGACAAAGCATTATATGCTGCTGTAGTTGATAAATACAGGGTATCTCCTCCCGAAGGTGGCGTATCGAGAGGGAAGAAGGTCGTAGTTCCCATACCGTTTCTGTCATATTTTGAGAATAGTTCCAATTTTCTTCATAAAACGGAACTTACATTTCGTAGGTCATGTCGCTGTGCCACTTGACGCTGGTCACATTATTGACGATTTCTTTGTCGACAGCTCCAGCTCTGTGCGGTACGTAAGTCTCATTCTCTTGTCAGATGGGTGATTCCTCCTACTCTGCATCTCTATAGACTGGAAGTATCTGAGGGTAGTCTTTGATATGAATTCCCATCTGATGAACATGGAGATGTCCAAAATGCTCCCCGTATTTCTTTTGTCTCTCTGGCCCAATATCTGCAAAGTCCTGGTCTTTGAAAATAACTACTCCTCTTTCTGTAGCCAGAAGCGCAAGATCATCTAGCTGCTCAGGAAGGAGCTGACTTAATTGAATGCCTCGGATTTCGGTTCCGACGTTTGGAGTTACTTCCTGGATGACTGTGCCTGGGACGCTAAACAAGCGCCTTTTCTCTGGATCTGCTCGCAATCCAACATCCACGTGGACAAACTCTGCCAGAGGCGGTTGCCGACCTGGCGTTGAGTATGGAAGATACGCTGCATATTTGTACTAAATACAAGGTCAATATCGATCGCATGTTAAAGAGGTAGTTCGTACATTTTCCTTTGTGTAGTCTATTGATGTTGCAGTTGGAACCTGGGCAGGGACAGATGCAGTGCTATCTCCAGCTGAGGCCGCATCATTGTGTAAGACCTTTTCAGTCTCGACGAGCACATCACCCATGTTGAAGAATGATATGTGAACTTTCTAATAAGCAAGAACTATATGCAACTCTCTTACTTCACTTGGGAATGCGGTGTAATAAGTTTCAAGAAACTGGACTGAGATGGAACACGGAGATGTCTGAGGTAATTCGGGTACTTTGTATTCCTAGCCTGCGGGGCATTTTGGTTCCACAAAAATTGCCTATTATTTAAAGCTATAGCAAGTAAAAGTGATCTTGTGGGGTAAAATAGAGGGGGGAGGGGTGATATAGGTGCTTGTTCGAAGTGATATGTCCGGGTTCTGCATTTAAGCCAAGTTCGACTGCAAGCTCCTCACACTGGACAAAGTGACTCGTATACCTTGCTGGATGTTGATATATCGCTGTAATGTTTGATTGTATGCCTAGGGTGCATGATTGGAGACTCTCCACTTTTGACATGACGAAGTTGCGAGGAGAAGCACGCAAGGCATCAATCCTTGGATATCACTTCCAAGTAACCACAAATCGATATTATCCGCCACCTTTTCGATAAGAATATTGTATTCTGAAAGTTTTGGATTGTCCCTTGAGTTTTTGTGTCGATAGTGACACTCGGTTCAGGGGGATTTGAGGTTGTATTGCTCGGGGGGGTTGAAGTTCGACTTTCAGCCAATCAGAACTCATCGTAGTCACTTTTTTGATAATACCCTGAACTTGCAACAACTGAAGAAGCTAAAGTTGCGGATTAATTCTATTGTTATGCTTCTTTGAACAGTATTGAATCTGTGGGAATCTGAGTCAGTTCTATTGTTACGCCGAGTCTCCTTGACAACCCCCCTGGCCGTCTTGCATATGATGCGATGTTTCCAGATGTTACACCATCATTTCTGATAGCCCACCCTTGTGGAGCCAATTGGACACTGCATCTAAGGTATCCAATCAAGCGTATCTAAAAAGACTTCTCATTGAACTGCAGGGCAGATTACAGGCCATGCTAATCCACTTTGTAGTTGTAACCGGGCAGGTATATTCATAAATAAAGGGACAGAGGATACCTGGCGGAATAAAATCGATATCATAGTGTTTATCGACTTGCGTTCCTCTATAATGGCAAAACAAGATGCATCATCCAGCATCAACTCTGCTGTCTCGCCGGCCTCTGGCGCTTCGACTTCCAATCCCGAACTCGTGGACAGCAAGAATCAAATCATCCTCTCATCAGAAGCCTATTCTCAAGAGAGCCCAAAGAAATTATCGCTATGGAGAAGGTTCCTGGGATTGTTCTGGGATTCCTACGTGGCTGACCCACGTGAGCGGAAGTATATCCAAAAAGTAGACCTTCATTTATTGTAAGCAAAGCCTCTTCGGGATACAAGCTCTGGCTTATCAGTCTGTAGTGTGTATATCATGTTTGGTTACTTCATCAAGTATCTCGACCAGACGAATTATAGTAAGTTTCACAGAAGTGAAACTCATAGTCTGAAAACACACCCTGACTATCTATTCTAGGCAACGCATTTGTTAGTGGAATGCAAAAAGACGTAACAGAGTCCCTTCGCATAAGTAGAAGTTTAGCGCTAATAAACCAAGCTGAATCTATATGGAAATGAAAGAAATTACCTTGTGACTTTCTTCAATATTGGTATTATTATCGGTACTGTTCCAGCCCAGTAAGTTAACTCGCTAACCAACCAACTCCAAAATACCCTTCGATCAGGCAAATTGAAATTTCCGTTTTGCAGGATGGTACAAATGAAATACGTCAGACCATCAATCTGGATTCCCTCTTGCGAGCTAGCTTGGTCCTTCTTCGTCATGGCAATGGCAGGTGCAAAGGACGTCAAAACGGTACGTCGCCCATCAAAAACACCACTTTACTCGTAAACATAGGTACTAAGCGGGACGTACGTAGCTCTACGCATTACGATTCTGCGTAGGGTTTCTGGAGTCCTGCTCTTTTCCCGGCTACGCCACTCTTTTAGGGAGTTGGTTCGGCCCAACACAAATAGGAAAACGGATGGCTCTCTTTGAGAACGCACAGGGAATTGCAAGTATGTTCAGCGGATATCTACAGGCGGCTCTGTATAAGGGCTTGAATAACGCTGGGGGTTTGGTCGGATGGAGGTGGTTGTTTATCTTCGATGCTATTATTAGCATTCCTATTGCACTCTGGGGCTTTTATGCGATTCCGGATTTACCTAGCAATACGCGTGCGCGGTGGTTGACTGAAGATGTAAGAGTTTTGCACCGAGTATGGGGCTTATGCTGATGAAGGCAGGATCGAAAATATGGGCTTGAGAGAATGGAATCGTTTGGAAGAGCAGCTCCGACTGGACTTACACTCAAAGCTATTCGAAGAGTCTATTTCGATTGGCATATATGGGTTTTTATCTTCCCATACTTGTAAGTGTTCCACGCTAGGATAAGAATCCAGCTGATGGAATGAAGGACTGTTGCAATGATGAACTATGGAAACTCATTTTTCAATCTCTGGCTAAAAGCTGAAGGTTACAGCGTGGTCAACATCAATACCATTCCAACTGCTGGCGCAGCTCTCAGTATCGTTGCTGCGTTGGCGTCGGGAATCTTTGCTGACAGAACTGGGAAACGGAAGACAACTGTGTCAATCCTGATCATTACTGTCGCCGTTGGGAATATACTTCTGAGTGTGTGGCATCTACCCAAAGGGGTTCTGATGTTCTCAAACTTCCTTCTGTTTGTCGGGACCGCTGCTCAACCTATCGTCATCGTAAGTGTAGCTTTTGAGGAAGAAGCATCACTTGCTAATCAAAAAAATGTCAGTCTTGGGGCCAAGAATTCGCTCAGCATGATGCAGAACTACGACAGCTCCTCGTAGCAACAGGGAACATATTTACCTACTCATTCAACGCATTCTTACCAGGTAAATTAGACTCATTCTCACCTCTTAACGTCAACTGATATATGATTTTAGTAATTCTCTTCCCGACTTATGATGCCCCGCACTACAAATTCGGCTATCAGTCTGAGATTATCTTTGGAGGATTGGCATTTGCTAGCGTTTTCTTGCTAGATTTCTTGGCTAAGAGAGAGCTGTTCGTACCTATTTTCCCCGTATATGTCCTGACTGCACTTACTGACAGTTCCACAGGTCTCATAAAGAATCTCGAGTCACTTCGTCCGGTTTGGTCGTTCTTGTTACGGATACAAATGAGGAGAGCAGCGATCATACTTCACCGAGGGAAACAGTGGCGACTGTGTAGTTGCTGTAAGCCTTGAAGCTTGTCAGTGATTCGAGGATGGTAGTCATGGAGTTGTGTTTGAGAATCTTATGCTCGAGTACTTCTGGCCGCAAAATTATAGTACTAGACGAGCCCCTGAAAATATAAGCGAGAGAGCCACTGGCTGGCGCTCCGGCCCCTTAGAGCGCACCGGCCCGTCCTCTCCATTCCGCTAGGAAGAAGGAGTATTAAATTTATCTGAGAGACTTGATTGAAATTCTCCTCTTTCTGCACCAAAAAATAGCATAGAGATTAGTGTTGGAGGTTAAGAAATAACAAAGTAATAGAACTCGGTGATCTGCACTTATGACTGAGAATCGCATGACCTATGACGTATTTGCTTATATACACACCGTGCCTCAGATTTCCCTTCTTATCATGACCTGATACGGAGGTATGTCCGAAACCATTTTACTGTATCCCTTTTTCCATCTTTCTCTTTCTCTTTCTCTTCCTTTTACGTTCTTCCACTTTTTAAAGATGATTACAAGTATATTCAAAATGGAGTTCCCGCTGCGGCATCTCTGGCTCTTCCCATTTATAGCCGCGACATCATGGTTCCTAACACTATCAATACTATTAATTACCTGGTTCGCAAAAGGCCTCCCCCAATACCCCCGACCAAAGTAATCCCTATGTCCCGTAAGTCCCTCCCTCCCTCACCTCACCTTAATCCCCATGTCCTAAACACCCAACTCAACAGCTTCATCTCAGACATCGGCGCCTTCACCCTTAAGCCAGTATTCTGCATCGGCGGCGTCCTCACCGCCGTTTTTTTCACCACCACAATCTGCTCTGTCCATTTCGCACGGTATTCCTCGCGTATGTATAACCTGCAAGACGCTCCATATACGCGGACTGTCTCGGCGCTTGCCATTTTCGCTAGTATAGTGTCGGGTCTCGCTCTGGTCCTGCTCAGCATCCTGGATACGTACCGCTACCATGAGAACCATAGCGTTTTGCTCACGGTGTGTTTCCTGGGACTAGGCCTTTCGGCTTGCTGTACGAGCTTTGTGTATTTTGACCAGACGAGGAAGGGGTCACAGTTCCGGAGGCTACGTTTGTAGTAAGTGGGCTTTCCTCAGTTATTCATCGTCATTCCTACCTTTACAGAGGCGTGGATTCGAATACCGTGGGAATTAATTAACGGATATGCTCCAACTAGCTGCATTGTTACTACAGTCATTGTTTGGGTTGAAGTTTGTCTGGGCGGTGCTTTTATGTGGTTGTTATGGCATGAATGGTACCGAGTTGCTGGTATTTTGGAGTGGATTGTTTCCTACCTCGGAGTTTTCTGGCTTGCTTCTTTTATCGGTTATGTTGCGTAAGTCAACCCTCCATATCCAGAGCCTCAGATTCTGGATGAATATTAAATGTCAAGATAGTGTTCCAGATGAGGGCATAGACGTTAGAGAGCGCGATCCTTTACTGGGAGATAGTGCGTATCTCAGCTAGGATTCAGTATAGTTAGCATCACAGTCCTTGCTATGACGAGGCAGTTGCTATCATAACAAAGGACGATGCGGGGTCGAGACCTCAACCGTAAACTGTTCTGGGGTAGATGCTAGTGTCTTCCAAAAGGTGCTCCAAGTACAACAGACTGCTATATTAAGCTCGCAAAACTTTCAGAACTCTCCAGGGTATAAACTAAACAAGATACTTAAAAAAATCCTCCAAATACAACCGAATCGGCCCACGTATACAACGATTCGGGTATATCTAAAACTCAGCAGTCGCCTCATACAGGCTGGGTGCAATGCAAACACCACCGACCGTATTCAGACTTAGGCGTTATCCTCTGGAGGAGATGCAGGTCTTCGCGGATGACTCCTGCGGTTGCGGCGATGGTGTATATCCTCTCCATCATCATCATGATCCTCTTCCACGGGCGCCCCAAACACAAGATTCGTAGCTAATCTCACCACCCCTCCCTGAGGCTTCTCAACCGCAATAGCCAGCGCAAGCAAGCTCGGGTTTCCAAAATCAGGAACGGATAAAAGGAGGAATCCACTATCCATCCATAGTAAGCATGTGGAATCCGCAATCCAACCCTAGTATAGGTAAAGCATAGGACTTACAAGACGATAAAACCTAGAATCACAGCATGCATAACCGTCGCAGGCAGATACTCAGTATCTACCCAATGCGCCGTCACACTCAATGAAATGAGCAGGCCCAGCAAGATAACACCGTCAATGATGCCCGCTACACCCTTCTTTATTTCCTCAGCCCATTCTGACACGCTGGGATGGACAACCTCAAAACGTACAACGACAATCCCGCTCCCGAAATATGAGCCCAGCACCGCAACTTGTCGCGCGATAGCGAAGGACAGAAATACGATTGGGGCGGCGTAGTGCGGACCATGCACCGCGAAGATGATGAATGCCGGGATGGCAAGCAGGAGCGCGAGGCTTCGGGTGGTGAGGGTAGGATTGAAGGCTGTGGAGAAGGGGCGGGTGGGAGATGTGGATACGAAGCCACCGAGGAGAGTTGTTTCTTCATCGTCGGAGTCCGGGTGGTCGTTTGCGAGGAGGGGCGTTCGCGACGATGCCATGGTGAGACAATGTGTGACGGTCGTGGAATATTGGGGAATATATATTTGGTTATGTTGCAACCTTTGAGGGATTCAGGTTGTTGCCTGCGATCGCCATCTCGGCGCTTTGCACATGCGTGGGGTAAAGTGTTCTAACCGCATATAGAACGACTCAATTTGGCAGGTGCCAGCTTAAATGTCAGTATATGACATAGAACATATTCCACTTCGAGTGAGTGATTATCCAGTAAATACTACATGAAGCTGCAAAGAACGGTAATGATTCATTGTACAAGTACTTGCCCTCCACTACAATCTGCTCACTTAAACCAAGACATCTTGATCTTATATGCCGTTTACTGCAGCACTAATACCACGGGTACTATAGCCAGATAAAGACAAATTCGCTCCTCTTCTAGTTCTAGCTCAGAGTAGGAAACGTTATAAATGCGAATGCCATGTAGAAAGTTGACCAAATACAGAATGCAAATATCTCAGCCTGACATACTAGGATGACTAAACACCAAATGATTTTACGCTTGAACATGGATTCCATATAGTTCAGAAAAGGTAATAAGCTAATGCTATGCTCAATCTCTTGCCACATATGTTGAGTTCATATGCCAAAGTAAAGCAAACTTCAAGTACTCAAGCAGGTACGGTAAGACTGAAAATGACAATAGCTTGACTCACATATAGTCTTTGAATATTTATGAAAGCTTGCATCCTTTGGGTTGTCCTTTGGATATAGTGCGTATAAGAATTGAAAGACTCTGAAATCCATTTTGAACTTTTTAGAAAAAGTGAGAGTCTAAGAGATCGTCTGGAGATATTGAGAAAGACAGCGGAGTGGGGTCCGCAGCGCTAAAGGTTAGAGTTGCAGGTCCCGTGACCTCGAATCTTCGACTTCAACTCTAGCTACCCATGTAGTGAAGCTCTCCAAGCAATTTAAGAACCTTCCCAACCACCAAAATGTCCCTCTCCTCATACCTAGCCTCGAAATACCTCTCTGCGGACCCTCCAACATCCTCATCCAGCGGTAAGAAGCGCAAGCGCAAAGCCGCTGCAGCCCAGCCAGGTCTCATAATCGCCGACGACGACGCGCTCGGCTGGTCCAACACTCCCACATCACAGAACGACGAGGACGATGGGCGCCCTCTGACCGTCTCCTCCGGCAGTGCAGAATTTCGCAAAGCAAAGAAGAATGCCTGGAAGACTGTAGGCGTACCAGCTCTGCAACCGAAAGACGAAGAGGCCGACGAGGCCGACAAGATAATCCAAGCTGCGGCCGCTGAGAACTCCGCCGCTCTACATGCGGATGAAGGGCCTGTGGTGGAAGACGAAGAAGACACGGGTTTAGTGAAGATGAGCGACGGGACACATGCCGGTCTGCAGAGCGGAGCAGCAGTCGCGGCGCAATTCCAGAAGCGGAAGCGTGCAGAAGCCGAATCATGGGCGCGCGAGGAAAAAGAGAGGAAAAAGAAGGGTATTGTGGGGGAGGAGACTGTGTATCGAGATGCGACGGGGCGGCGGATAGATATCAGTATGCGGAGACAGGAGGCGCGACGGCTAGAGGACGAGAAGGCGAAGAAGGAACGGGAGGAGAAGGAGGCACAGAAGGGAGATGTGCAGAGGGCGCAGGCTGTGAAGAGGAGGGAAGATTTAGATGAGGCGAGGTTTCTGCCGCTTGCTAGGACGGTGGATGATGTGGAGATGAATGATGAGATGAAGGAGGTGTCGCGGTGGAATGACCCTGCTGCGCAGTTTTTGGTGAAGAAGGATAAGAAGGGTAAGGCGGGGGGAAAGAAGCTGTATATGGGCGCTGCGGCGCCGAATCGGTATGGGATTCGACCTGGACATCGGTGGGATGGCGTGGATAGAGGGAATGGATGGGAAGGTGAGCGATTCAAGGCGATGAACCGGAGGGTAAGAAACAAGAATCTGGACTTTGAGTGGCAGATGGATACGTAACGCTATTAGCTCTCACTCTGGAATACAGAATTATATACAGCAGATTTCAAGTTGCGACTTGAAACGTAGGTTTATTTAGTAAAACAACCACATTTCTCATGGCCGTCTGCAGAGCCGTTCAGGATTCAAGAACCAAAATCCCCTGGCATTTGAGAAATATAGGCGGCCTTGAGTTGTTAGGGAAACTGAGCCGACCCCAAGGTCACGAGCAAGCGTATGCGACGGTTACGTTCATTTTTCATTATGCTTATAGACATATCAAGTCTGATATCTCCTTCTATCAAACCGTCTACGAAGCAAGTTCATTTGACTATACCACGGGATTCAGCGATGAACTTCAGTAAAAAGAAAAATCAACCTCTTCCAACTTCTTGTTTCCTACCCTTGCCCAGCGTTCATCTTGATAGTAGACTCGATGCAAGTCTCCAACTACTTACTCACTAGGGCAGAGATTTTAGTTGATTCAACGTTTTTGTTTTTCATCAACATTATAGTTGCAAGGCTCTCTACTAGCTAATGCCCGCCGATTAAGCAGCCTAGCAACCCTCCCTGTAATCATAAAGCCTGCACGTAGCAACACTCAAGGCATACGTTCAACTATCCCTCGAAGATGAAAGCAAGCCTTCCACCCGTTTTATCTCAGTTCCAAAATCCGAGTCCACGCAATTAATAATAGTCATCCATCTACCCACGCCTATTTCGGCCGCAAAAGCTTATCCGCACTGTACTTCGAGTGCTCCTTAACCATCGAGAAGAACGCCTTCTTGTCAGTCTGCCCGGGATTATCACCCACCCGTCCCGCAAACGACCTCATCAAATCTCCCGACGAGATACCACTTGCTGGAATAGCGGCAATGACTTCCTGGACTGAGATGGGGCCCAAGCCAGGCGACTGGGCGCGCGATTGATCTGCTGTACAGACTGTTAGTAAATGTGTATGTAAAGATGATATATAAAGAGTAGATGAGATGAGATGGAATGGGGTTGGCCAGGCTGAGAAGACGACTTGGTATAGCAATCTCTGAATCCAGAGGGCTTCCCAATTGCTTAAGTTGGATGTTGCGAGATGTTTGCCAAAAGTGAGAGCTCAGCATCAGACCCCGGAGCCACCGTACAAAATGAAACCTTGTGGCCAGCTTCATCGACGTGTGACGAGGTGTATTGACACGATAGAAGACAAGCCAAAGCGGCTGAGGTAGCCTTGGCATAAGCCACTTCTCTTGAAATCGTTACTGAAGCGTGTCCCCAATAAAACCGCCAATTAAATATAAAACAGGAGATAGGAAGATAGATTGCATACTTTGTCCTTGAGCAGCCGGGCTCCCTGCACGACTTCCTCCAGCTCCTATTGAACCGGCTCTGCCTGGCGCTGGGGTGCCTGCTCTGGATCCAGAAGGCGAACCAACTCGAATCTTGATCCTTTTCTTCTTACCGGCGTCAGACATTTCACCACCGGTAGCTTCGCCATCACTCATGAAACCTCCATGGACTGGACTTGGATTTGGTGGAGCCTTTTGAATTTCCGAGAGTTTCGACGGGTTGACATTGAGCTTAACGACAGATGATTTGCGGCCTTGACTGGATGCTGACTGTGATCCTGAAGGGGCAGGAGACATAGGCCGAGATCCTGGAACCGGAGTGCTCGTACCTGAAGTGCCAGGAGAGCCGTGATGCTTCTTCTTAAACTTCTTTCGCGAGGATTCATTTCCAGACGATTCCGAGAGATTTGGGGACCCAGATCGTTTGAGGTTGGTCTTCGATTTCTTCAAAGGATCGGTATGCTTTGGTCGACCAGATGGGGTATTTGTTCCTTTTGAAGACGCACCGGAAGGTAGCTTTGACTCGGACTTAGCTTTGGTCTTAGCTTCTTCCTCTTTTTTTTTGTCAATCTCCTTCTGCTTATCTTCGTCCGCGGTATCATCGTCGCTCTATGTATCGTTAGCTAGGAATTTTAAATCTCACATCCGCTACATACCGAATCCGAATAGGGGTGATCAGAATCACTTTCATATATAAGATTCTGCTCGCGCTTCGTCAATGCCTTTCTCGTCTTCTTTCCCAGTTTCTTTTCAGCTTGTTGCTCTTCAAGCTCCTTCTCAAGTTCTTTCTCGACCTCTAATTCATCCGCTTGGTCGAAGAAATTTGCACCTAGTTGCTCACGTTTGATTTTCTCCTGAGCATCCTTGGTATCTTCATCCTTGTCCGGTTCCACAGTTACCTGCTCGTCATCGTCTTGAAAGAGGTCATCTTCCTCGAAGTCCAGATCATCCATGTCTTGTCTCTCGTTCTTGCTCGAGTTCTTGTAGGTGTTACTTTCGGACTTGACGGTATACATCTTATGCATAGGTGGTGCTTTCAGTTCTCCCACTTTCTTCTCATTGGCCTTCATGACCCATCTGGATTCTCTGGTCTTCTTGTTTAATTGTGCCTCTGCCTCCTCAATTGTGAACGTTTTGAATTGGTTCTTAGGCGTGAACTTGTACCATTTCTCAATGGGAACCATAATGAACCTTGCGCCATCGATCACAAACATGACATTAGTATCTGAAAGGGCGGCTTCATAGCTTCCCACCCATGTGTTTTTATTGTCTGCGTCCTCCAGGTGCCAAGGCAATGCTTCTTCATATCTCAAGTCGGAAGCCTTCTTCTGCTCTGCTGTCTTATCCAGCCTGAAGACTTGGGAGGTCTTTTCATTTCGAAAGGCTTGGTTCTTCTTTGCTGCGAGAGCCGAGGCATTATTCCCTGTCGGTGCAATCTGGGCGAGATCCGCTGCCTTGCGGGCATCTTTCTCTGTTTTTAGTATCTCCAGCTTCTCTCTCTCCTTCGAATCCATTGGAACATCGGTCAGCATGTCCTCATCCTTCATTCCCTTTCCCGGTGGGGGTTGTCGGGGGTCCCTTCTATGCAGAACAACTGGGCGAGTAAACTCGGCTTGGTTTGCGGGATCGACATCCTTTTTCGTAGAGAACCTAGCAATATGATACCTTAAGCCCTCTCGCATAGCTCGCTTGGTCGTGAATAGCGGGAAATCGGTGTATTGTCCTGGGGTGGGAGCATTTGTCCACCCGCCAGTTGCTGATGGGCCGGCACCATTTGCAGGCCCTGCTTGTGAGGGAGCTCCTCGAGGCGGTAATATGCCATTGACTGGATATCTATTTACTGGGGCAGCTGGCGCAGGGCCGTTAGGTCGCGGAGGGGCGGCGCCAGCAGGAACGTTTGGTCGTCGAACAGGCTTCTTTCGGGGCCTCAAAGGATCGGTAGCTTTATGCTTTCGGACAAATTGAGGAGGACCGCCATTAGGAGTTGGGGTTTGATTGTTTGACTGGCCGGAAGGAGATGCGCTCATGATGTAAGGCGGTTTGCAGTCGGCGAGACTGTAGAGGGTGCCTCGGGTGATGGGCAGGACGATATTGATATCCTGCCTAGTTGCCCGTCATGAAGAGGAAGCAAGAGTGTTTGCACAGGCAGAGTGTGATGGTATGCGATATGGTATGGTGTTGTGTGGTATGGTGTGGGATGTTTGATGTTTGTATGTTTGCGTGCCTTGCCCTTGGAATGAATGAGCTGCTTGCTTGCTTGTGGAGGAACGCGATGTGATCCCGCCCTGTCGCGCTAGATGATCTGCGCTAAGCCCTTTCGGAACAGATCTGTGCATGCCCAGGTGCTTTCTTGAATGGATTCAGCTTCCTCACCTTAGTCGCTTTGATATACCGCCCTTACCAACGCCTTTACTGCCAGCTGTTTTTGTCGTCGGATCAGGACTTTGACCCATATCATTGATGTTGAGATTCTATCCGCTGAGTTGGACCATGGAACAGATTCTTTGCTCAAGCATTCCATCAAGTCAGTTACATTACATGCAGTCACTGGACTCACACTTATGGCAAAGACTGATTGGATGTCATAGACGACGCACAACAGCAAACTCCTACACGTTTGAAGTGTGAAGGTAGTTTCTGTGTTGGGTAGGCAGGTAAGTAAGGCTTTGGGATATTGAGACGGTCTTGATCCCATACTCCGCGCAGGAGTCTGCAATCCGAGACTCCCAAATAGGTCACATGCCCTGTGTTCACTCTTCGTCGCCGAAGTCTCCATCCAAGCCTTGCTAAGGGCCTTATCAAGCTTGACCGATTCTCTTTACCGTTGCGCGGATACCTTCCTATGTTACACGAGAAACAATCGCATGCTCATCTCCCGTGCGAGAGCCATCTCACGACTGAATTGAAGCTTTCGCCATTACAAAGGTTGAAGATTCACAGGTACCTTTGACAGCAGAGTCTGGATCAATCTTGCGTTGCAAAATGTTTCCGTCTTCTAATGAACAAGATGGGAGCCAGCCTCTTGAGGCACGTTTGCGTAATCTCATTATCAGCAACGCAAACGCGGACTCAAATGCAAATCAAGTCACAAATGTTGGACAGCAAGCCCCAGGAAATACGCAGGTACCAGCTCAAATGATGCCAGCCAATCCTACCTTTCAGGAGCCTCCACATCTGCCACCTCACATGCAAGCGGCAACTCCTACCGAGAAGCAAGAATATCTTGCAAATGCTGGTTCTCGCGCCCCCCAGGTGCAAGGTCAAACTCACGGTCAAACACCTCGAAAGAGGCTCAATCAAGCCCAAAGACGGCAGATGAACTCCCAAATCTCAATCCCCGTCGATACCAGGCCTACTCAAACTGCTTATTCTAGCCGTGGTCATGCCCCTGGTGGTGGCCAACCTCAAGCTCAATGGGGTCCCGGTTACAACGGTGCGCCACAGAACCAGAAATATCTGCAGAACCAAAATTACTCCCCTCGCCATCAACACACTGGTCCTCCTACACCTTACTCCCCACAAAATTTCTTTCCGCAAGGTAGCCCCGGTTCCCCAATGCACCAGTACCAATCAGGGCCACATCCTCAGATGACACAGAGAAGTCCACATCAATCACAACACTTTCAACAGGGTCCGTATTCTCCAAGGCCTCCCCAACAAAGCCGACAACTTTACCAACCTGGTCCTTACCAAGGCCAGGGAAGACGTCCATCATTCAATCGTGATCCCCAGGAACTAATAGTTCAAGGAGTGTTTCTTGAAAATATGTTGCAAGAATCTATTCCTGTAGTTGTGATTGATCCTCAAGAGGCAGCCGAGAAGGAAGATTTCAGGGCTCTGGTTGAGAAAGCTTGTCGAGAATCCATTGCTGAGCACGAAGTGCTGGGGTTGGGCAATAAGGAGTTCAACGAATCGACTGTGGAATTACAGTGTTTTGGTAGCATGATGTCTGGGTTTGCAACAAAAGCATCCGACATGGATCTTGCGCTGCTGAGTCCCAACTCAAGCCCTGCTCCGGAATCTCCAGATTCTGCAATTCCTCGTTTATTGGAGAAGAAGCTACTGAGCCTGGGATTTGGTGCTCGTCTTCTGACGAGGACAAGAGTTCCAATTATCAAGCTTTGCCAAAAACCTACAGCTAAGCTAAAGGCAGACTTGCTCGAGGAACGAACTAAGTGGGAGACTGGATTTGTCGCGGAGCAAGAAGAGGAGGAAGCGATCGATGTTGACGCTTCCAAAAAGGAGCCAAGCGATGAGCGTCCCGATGCTGGTGTCAGTCCCATGTATGCAGATTTCTGTGTCCCTATTACGTCTTGAGAGATCCGAGACATTCTCCCAAGCTGCTATTATTGACCAAACAATACTGACTCCCTGAACTCGAAGATTAGAGAAAACATCAGTTAAGCCCAGCGATATCTCGTACGAAGGAAAACTGGCAACATTGAAACAGAAGGAGGGCCAAACACTCGTTGACTATCACAATAACGCCAAACGCCTTTTGAGACGGCTCAACGGTCGAGACATTACTGCAACATCGCCCGATCTCAATGATGAAGAATTGAAAATCCTCAATGACGTCTGCAAAGCATTGATCTCTGGCCTTTCCTCGTCGCAGCTGGCACTCCGGCTTAGAAATTATCAAACAATAGCTCCATTATTTGATCAGTCGCTCCAGCCTATTCAACGAACACTTCATGGAGTTGCGATCCAAATTGAAGGAGAGCGGTTGGCCATGGCCTGGGAAAACCGTCCTCTCGCTGAGTATGACGAGAGACGTGAATTTCAAGGCCTAGCGGACGTTGAAGAGTGGCGAGTTCTCCAAGACAAGCAAGGACCAATCGTCGAGTCCTTGGCTTTTGATAGGCTTCTTTGGGTGGCTGCAGAGAAACTAAAGAAGATCACTTCCTTACAGCTAGTTGCCCTCGAGCAGAATCCACAGGAAGAGCCTGTATCTTACTATACCAGGGCTCAAAAGTTGTTCGAAGCTCTGAGGCACCATGGTTCATCTAATGATACAGCGATACCCATTTTCAAGGCTCATTATATGGCTGGCATTGCCGACAAGGCGATCCGCGAGACACTGCAATTGTCAATTCACACAGATGCCACCCTTCAACGCCTCAATGTGCAGCACAGGGTCTTGCAGCTTGTGGCTGATTACAAGCATGCCCTACAAGTCGATCTCTACGACCATGCTGATCGCCCACATGTAGAACAATATCTATCTCTACTGAACAGCCTCAACTATACTGACCCTGCTGTACGCCTAATAACGCCACTAACTAGCTCCGAAGAGGCCTTGCTTGCGAAGGTGCGGACACTTCCAGATCCGACTACTGTGTCACCCAACAAACCTCGGGATCGATATAAGGACCACCTTGAGTTTCCCAAGACAGACATCGGAATACAATGTGATATCAACTTCTCAGCACACCTCGCAATTCATAATACCTTGCTCCTACGCTGCTATTCGCATTGCGATCCACGAGTTAAACCTATGATTTTGTTCATAAAGCATTGGGCGAAGGTTCGAGGAATCAATACTCCATACCGAGGCTCTCTCAGCAGCTATGGCTATGTTCTGATGGTTCTTCACTACCTTGTCAACGTTGCTTCCCCTGCCGTGTGCCCGAATCTTCAAATTGACCGCAAGGATCCGCCCTCCTACCTTCCACCCGCAGAAATCGAGGCTCGAACAACTTGCAATGGCTGTGACGTGCGGTTCTGGCGCAACGAGGCTGAGATTAAGGATCTGGCTGCCAAAAAAATGCTCAATCATAACCACGATTCTGTCGGAGCATTACTTCGAGGTTTCTTCGAATATTATGCCCAACCCGGACAGATGTCGACTGGAAATCATAGAGGCTTCGACTGGGGAAGGGAGGTCTTGAGTCTCCGCAGCAAAGGCGGGATCGTGACCAAGCAAGAAAAGGGTTGGATTGGTGCAAAAACAACTTTCGAGACAAAAATAGTAGCACCTCCAGCGGCTTCGACAGCAAAATCTCAAGACTTTTCTGAGAATGCCACTCCAGGAGTAGAAGTTCCCGATACCAAAATTCATATACCCAAAACAGTCGAAGAAACAAAGGAAATCCGCCACCGCTACCTCTTCGCTATTGAAGATCCCTTCGAACTCGACCACAACGTAGCCAGAACCGTCACACACAACGGCATTGTCTCCATTCGCGACGAGTTCAGACGTGCTTTGCGCATTATTCGCGCTGCTGGCAAGCCGGATCAAAGGGACGGTGGACTATTAGATCCGCTTGATACTACAGGGAGCACTACGAAGGGCACTTGGCTGGACTTATGGCATTTGATTCATGGGCCTGCCCCGAAGGAGGGTATTAAAATGGAGAAGGATTTGGGGTAAATGGTATAAGGGGCAAGCGTCTTTGCTTCACTCCAGAACAAGGAACACTCTCATAGATAGCAAATAGATTTTGCTGAAATGTTCACTTTGCCTTGAATGAAATGTAAAGTTCCTACCGCTCAAGTGAGCCTATTTCTGTATTCTGCGTGACTTTTCAATAGGCCGCAGAAGTATCAAATTTACTTTAAGGTTTATGAAATTCATTCGCCATTTTCTACAACTCGATCTCTCTTGTGGAGCCCGCATTTCTCTTTGGCAGATGCACTTGGAATTTTGTGACATCATTTTACATTGATTTGAATGAATGAATGTATTCCCTTTCACTTTGCCCACTGCTGTGAATTCAGAATGAACAAAAGAGATCTAATACCTATTCACTTCTACATGAACGAAGCTTAGCCGTAATGTGCATTGATAGTGGGTCTTTTGCAGTGAGATTGAGTCTTGTAAGTGATAGAAAGCATTCCTTTACATTAATTGAATTAACACATCCAGGTGAATTCATAGCATGCAGATGCTTCTTTTACTATATAAGGGTCCTTGTCCCCCTCTTCCGCAACCTCTTTCTACAACCAACCACTCAACTCTCTTCCCTCACACAATCAATCAAGTAAGATCCTCCTCTCCACCCTCACAACCCCATGAAGGTCATTCAGCTAACAAGCCAGACAACAACTTACGTTCCCCAAACCCACCAATCAACATGCCTTCAATCATGAAGCTCGCCCTCAGCCTCGTCGCCTTCCTCACCCTGGCCTCGGCCACCCCCACTACCTACCCCGCCGTTATCATGGGTGAGCGCGACGTCGCCTCCGGCTCAGAGCCCCCCTGCCTCTGCTACGACGGCACCCCCATTGGCTTCTACTGCGGTTTCGAGGAGGGCGCCTCCCCGGGCCACTTGACCGGTACCTGCGACCCTAACCTCTGCTATGCGTGCGGAAATGGTCACCAACCCATGTAAGTCATACTTTCATTATACATATCGATCTGTTGAGTGATGAGCTTTCCTTTCTTCATCTGCCCTTCTTTGCGTGTCTTTATGGTATGCTGGCTAATGCGAATGTCATCTCAGGTACCACCTCGATTGCCCAGCCCAGGGTCAATCTTGCAAGTCGGGCCAAGTCAATGGCAGAGGCGGACCAGGCAAGGATTTCTGTGCTTAGGTGGATATGACGGGGTGGAATTAAGGGGATGTTGGGCGGTGGTTAGGTTCGTTCGGGGCCTATGCGTTATGACTTCAGGGTTATGACGGGCTGCTCGTAATTACATTCGCAGAGGACTTGATGCCATGATTTGGCGACACTTTCATTAATTTTCACGTCTCGATGGGACTGAATAGAATGCAAGTTCTTTGAATCGTACCTGTATGGCTTTTGTGAATTTCTTGATTGTTATCTGTGCCTATGATGAGAAACTTTCTTTGGTCGGCTCCTAGGAGTACTGTGAAAGGGGTGAGGTAACAATAACGTCTAAACGTTCAAGTTACTTTGATGTCTCAAATTCCCGCACAACGCAACTTCGAAATAACACGCTTGATTCTCCATTCCACCTCATACTCGGAGCTGAATATTTGATTAATCCAGCCATTATTCAACAGTCTCGCATCATTCTTCCCCGAAGCGTATATGACTAATATATCAACGCCGACTGCTCTGTCTGAGCCCTGGGGTGTAGGCGGTATAGTGAATAGTGCTGGCATGACGCTCACGCACTTGAAACTTCGAAATGGTGGACAGTATAAGAACCGTTTTTCGAAACACAATGGCGAGGAGGTATTTGATCACTGCAATGCTGTATCTTTTAGATGTAGTTCTGGCTGAGATTGAGACACACTTGCCTAAGAAAACTCAGCACTTCTATCTCTCGGCAAAAAGCTCGCAGATATATGTCTCATTTTAATGTAACGAAGTCCTTTCCAGCGAACGCCATCGAGTTCTATCAATCTGCTTTCTATATAGGACGAGAGCGCGAACTGCCATACTATGCAACTGATAGTACTTTTTAGCAGTCCCCAAGATGCCACAACGTTCTTCACACTGTGAAGTTATCATAGTTATGATATAATGAACAATTGTGTACGGGTTTTACAAGCTAGGTAGACAATGAAAACGCTAGATTCATAACTCCATGACAGAAGACAAGACAAGACACGAAAGGATTTATTGAAATGAAAGCCAAGATCTATTATAAAGTATTTCGCGTAAAATAGGGGGACTGGACTGGTGAAGGGGTGACAAGGCGGTGAACCTCGGCAGAAAAAAACCACCCCGCCAAAACTTCATCCACCTCGCGACATCTTGGGGCGGCGAAAACTTCAAATCCATACACATCGAAAACCACAATGCCTACAGAATTAGAAGAGGTATGTATAGATGCTCTACGCTCCATAGTATCCTGCTAATATTCTGCGTAGCTTGTAGATTTTATATCTCACGGCAATACACAAGTGCGACAAACCGGTAAGCTGGAACGACCCCGCCACCGGAGAACTGTACTGACCTGCGCCCCAGCCGTTGAGAACCTGGTCCCTTTCTCCCTCTCGAAGCCAGAGATCTTCAAGACGAATGAGCTTCTGCCGATCAAAGACCTTAAGTTATTAGTGCGGGATTATCAGGTCAGTCAGCCTGAAAACGTAGCTGGGGATTCGACTGACACGAGCTTCAGCAAATTGCCAAAGATGCCATCACGATCCTCATTAACCTCTCGACGGACCGAGATGTGCTCGAAAACATCGCATCGGACAAAGATTTCATAAACATATTACTGGGGCGTGTAACAGTATGTCAGTCCCCCAAACATCTCCCCTCCTTTCATCTCCCAAGCCCACCTAACCATCCGCCCTCACAGAGCCCGTCGGAACCAAACGCCAACCTCCTCGCCATGCTCCTGGCCAACCTAGCCAAACATGACGACCTAAAATCCATCCTAACCCTCACACGCCCCGCGCCCCCCTCCTCCCTCGCCTCAAGCACCACCGCCATCGACCAGCTCCTCGACCTCTTCGTCAAAGGCGCAGACGGCACCTACAACAAAGACGCAGACTACGACTACCTCTCCTACCTCTTCGCAGACCTAGCAAAGCATCCCGAAGGCCGCGCCTACTTCCTCGCGCCGCAAAGTTACGACGGCGTGGTGCCGCTGACCAAAATCACCGTCTTCACCGAACACAAATCGGATATTAGGCGCAAGGGCGTCGCGTCGACGATCAAGAACGTGGCGTTTGAAATCGCGTCCCACCCGGCGTTTTTAGCGGAAGATGAGATTAATATCCTGCCGTATTTACTGCTGCCTATAACGGGCAACGAGGAGTACGATGAGGTGGAAATGCTGGATATGTTACCTGATTTGCAGCTCTTACCGCCGGATAAGAAGAGGGATTCGGATCAGAGCGTTATTCAGACGCATGTGGAGACGCTGACGCTGCTGACGACGACGAGGGAGGGCAGGGATAAGCTGAGGGAGGTTAAGGTGTATCCTGTTATAAGGGAGACGCATATGAGGGTTGAGAATGAGGATGTGAGGGAGGCGTGTGATAGGTTGGTGCAGGTGTTGATGAGGGATGAGGAGGGTGGAGAAGAAGTCGATCAGGGGATGACTGCGCTGTCGTCGAATAGGGGGCGGATAGCGGATACGCCGCAGCATCGTGGTGGTGGAGCGGGGAGTTGGGCCAGAGGGCAGGTGGAAGAGGAGGAAGAAGAAGATGATGATGACGACGATGATAAGATAGTAGAAGTGTGAGAATATCAGAGAATATCAGAGCATATCTTGAGAAATGTGAGATACGGAATTGTGTGAATACGCCGTATACTATCCTGGGATCTCCAATATCATCCAGGTAGTTCGCAGGGGCAATGCTCCGTATTGTCCGAGAAACAAGGCTGAGAATACTAACTCAAGATCTACTCGTACAAGATGTCAAAAGGGGCTTCGAGCGCCAGAGACAGAATTCACAGCACATACTTCCACACTGCCTCCCTACTTTGTTATCAAATCCGCTCACGAACCAAAAGTATTATACCAAATACCAAGACATTAACCTATACCTTTCCAGTCCTAAATCTGTAGCCTCGCCCTAAACTCCAGACCTATACCAACCCCAACCCCGCCCCCCTCAACTCAGCGTAAAATTCCCACTAACCCCCGTAAACGCCGATATCGTCCCCAGCACATTCTTCGAATCCCCATTATACCTAATGCGATACGTGCCCGGCACAGCATAACTCTCCGTCTCCCAGCTAATAACCACATGGCTCGTCCCCGTCAAGCTATCATCCCTGCTCCACGTATACACCAAGAACCAATCCGCGTCATCTCTGACCGTCGTCCAGGTCCCGTTCTCCAGGCCCTCAACTGCTGCATACGTGCCCTCTAATTTCAGATTGTTGCGCGGGTTGGCCCCGACGAATGTCGCGTTTATGACGGAGCCGATGGGGTAGGAGGCGTTGGGTTGTGTTATGATATCGCCAAAGGAGGAGCCCAGTTTTGGGGAGTCGTACACTACGCCAGCGATTAGATCGAGGGAGTTTTTGCGGTTGTCGGGCGGTGAAGGGCCGGGGTCTGGCTGTGAGGTGGAGTCTGCAGCTAGGTATTTGAGATTGCTTGTTGAGAGATAGATGTACGCGTCGAGTTCATTAGGGCCGAAGAGAGTAGAAGCGCCCTCGTAACGCTGGACGCCGTATTCTTCTCTCGTGGTCAAGTAATGCGCATACGTGTTAGCTGGTCCGCCGAGTACGACTTTCGGTGTGGTAGTTGTGATTGAGGCATTCGTAGCAGCGGCTGCGATGGCTGACTTCCATCGGCGGCCCGACATGGTCGTTGCTTCGCCAGGCACGATGATCATGATTAACTGGCCGACGCGGAGACTTTGTACGTCTACGATGTTGGGAGACCATGCGTATGGAGTGTCGAGCTCACCGACATCTAAGAGGACGGGCTTGGGGCTTTGGCAGGCCTTTTGCTGTGCAGTGGGGGCTTTGATGACAGAGGAGACAATCACCCAAAGTGGGTTTTGAGCGTTGGTATCGTTGTCGCTTTGAGTGAAGTCGAATGCACCAGGGCCATCACTAGTACCAGCGGCGAAAGAATAACCCATAGCTGCTGGGCATGTCTGCGCGACTGTACCGTTTGGAAGTGTGAAATTGTAGTATGTCATGTTGTTGAAGAGATGATACGCTTTGACCTATGGTCAAGATCTCGGTGTCAGTATTGTCTAGTATGGTAAATTTGGGTTTGAGATAGTTATTTCAGGAGTATGAAGTAGTCGACTTTTCAGATGTTTCAAAAGTACATCGACTCCTAAAATGTCCGAAGTAGGAAATATTCCTCCAAGAAGGTTACTTACACTTGGGTCAGTGACAGCCGTAGCAACACTATCAAAAGAGTCCTGTGTGCAATCAGTATCCAAGCCTTGGATTTTGAGGAGGAAATGCTAACATAGAGTGACTTCGCAGCTGCATATACCCTGCGTCCAATTTCATAACAACTAGAAACCCCAAGATCCAGCTTTTGGAATTCGGGACCCCTGCCATGGCACGATTCACTTTTTCCGCCGCAGGTACTATTCTCCAAAGTGCACATCTGACCTGAACCATCATCGCAATATGCCCCCAACACATTTGGAGTAGTGTCGCCCACGCTACTCTGACTGAAGGCAGCGACAAACCCTGGCGCGGCAGTGGAATCGGTCAACATAGCTTGTTCAAACAAGTACGAACTGAGGCCTTTGTTATCTATATATCTAGGTCAGCTAGTGTTCTCTGAAAGCCGAGGGAGTTGAATACCTCCAGTTACGTGGGTGTTATTCTCCAACATGGACGTTCCATGAACACTGTGCCTATTGGAAGTTAGCATTGGTGGCTTCTTGTGAAATGGCACAAGCAGGGTAGGCGTGTAAAGGGGCTAATTGACGGATAGGAATCTTACCATGCAAGAACTCCTGTATTCAAACCATCCGATGCACGTTTGAAGCGTAACATTGTGATAGTTTTGTCAACGTCATCACTGTATTGTGCTCGCTCTGATGCTGGGTTTGCAAGATATGCCCAAAGACTTCGATTAATGTTGGCATCTGATACCGTGGTGTCGGCAAAATCAAGGTAGCCAGGGGTCAAACTTTCATGTGCTCTCTGGATGGAAAGCACAGCGCCGTCCACAATTGCTTGGTAGCTTTGCGGGGAGAAACCAAGGGAAGTGATCTGAGGTAGAAGGTAATTCAACCAAGCTCCAGGCCCAGAATGCTGGTGTGTACCAGTCACAGCAACGTTGCTCTGGGTGTACATTGAGTAATTGCCTCCCAAGGCGGCCAGGCCGTCAAGAATTCCATTGCGGATCGCCGTATCTCCGGATTGAGTATCGAGGACCAAGTACACAAACCGATCAGTCGGCGTGTCTTTATTCCCAATAATGAAAGATCGGGAATAGATTCTCTGCCGGAGTCCAGTACCTGAGGAGTGAAGTTAGAATCACATGATATATAGAGTAGGGAGAATTCGAGTTCAAATTCAGGGAGCCCGTGATTCTCGCATGCATTAAGGTCAAAGGCTAAAATATCATCGAAAAGTCACCCACCGATTTGGGACAAACTAGCATAACCCATGAAATTTAGTTCTACGACAGGTCTGAACTCGATGTCAGTAGTGAGACTCTCGTGAGATCTAAGACATACCCCGTGATATCACCTTTACCCACACCAAGAAGATATTGATCTCCACTTGCTCTTGCTAGGTAATCGTTCAACTTTTTGGAATTCTCAACTGGCTCCTCCATGACTGATGTCGTCCATACTTTCGCACGTACTAGCAGAGGCAGGAGGGCGAACAGAGATACAAAAGTAACAATGAGGACAATGTATTTCTTGCTCCATCTTGAAGATTTGATTTTGAACGAGGTATCTTCTTGATCAACGAGCTTCTCCTCCGCTGGGAGGGGCTCGTAAGCTGCTCGTTCGAATAAATGCATTGTGAAGAAGACCAGTGTACTGCTGTGCAAAGAGAGAAATGCGGAGGTAAGGCCGCCGACTTATAAAGATATAAATACGCCTTTTCAAGTTGGGCTAGAGCTATTGGTGCAGGTTGCGGATATGACATCCTTTAGGATTTGGGATTGATGGTTATCGATCTCTTGACCATGCATGCATACGCATGTAACATTAGCTAATTATCTCTATCGCCTGTGTCCGAACAAGACAAGACCGTTGATATGGTCATTCTAAAATCCTGTTCATGCTATTCAGGAATACTAGGTCGCGGAGGGGTTGTCGTCGATCATTCCTAAAAGGAGGCCAATCAGCCGGTCCTGGGGAGTCGCGACCTGCCATCCCTGGGCATCCGCTAAATGCGAGCCTGGAGATGACACCCTACTGGTCGTCTGCCACCACCACTTGCCCATCTGGTTGATATCTCTTGCCCCTCTTCGAATTAATCGAATCTGAGGAGGGAGATTTCAATACCAAGCCGCCATATGCTTTGTCGAATAGCGATAGTCAGAAGCAAAAACCTTCTGTCCTGTCTATGCCGAGGACCCAGGGGTCTAGATTACCCGCTCTGCAAGGTACCTCGCGGTGGACAGAAAAAGCGCCAGCCTGCGTAGTACTGTACGAGTACACGACACGGAAAATTGATGACGATAAGCGCCGCTTTTTGTGTCCAGCACGAGGCACTACTATTCGTCACGTGTGTCATTCTTCAAGTCATACCAGTCTCACCAGTCTGGTCCTCATATTGATCGTTCTGTATACTCAATTTGAACGGGAATGCCATTCAAGACAAGACTGCCAAGTGCGGGGGGGACTCGATCTGGACTTGACCTCAAATATTAAGGTTTAGTATGCGTACGAATGGGCCCTTTGGCCCCCTGATCTTTCCCAGAGTATCCAAAGGCTCGGGATCAGGATCTGGACCGTGCAAAGAGGCCAAGACGCTGTTGTCGAACGACGATACGGAGCCGTATTGTACCACTTGAGCCGTACGCTTAGCTACAGCGTACTGTAAGCCTAAGATCCCCTCACTAATATGCTACCCAGCTAAAAGTAACCCCACGTAGTGTGAGCTGAGCTGCAAGTTTGCAACGCGTGAAGGTCTATATTCTCCTTTCTCCACGGTGGAACTCTTTTACGCTTCTCACATAGGAGAGCGACGGGAACACAAATCGAAAGAAGCCCAGCATCGTACTTGGTAGTTGAAAATAGCTCCTTTGCCAAATCCCTAGAAGATCATCCCTTCTTTATTCTCTCAATAAACGCCATTCGTATGCCATATCTTACCACAAGAAACGCCAAGTAAAGTTTCCCCCCGACCTGTTCCGTTTCGTATAACTGTATCGGTATTTGATTATTGTCCTCGTCGTCTTATTCAGCTTCCTCTTGTTCCTCTTCTTCTTCTTCCCCTTCTTCTTCTTCTTCTTCCTCCTCTTCCTCCTCTTCTCCCTCCTCATCCTCTTCCGGAGTCTTTTGCCGGCTTCTCCTACGATCACCACTCGGCTGCTCGTCCGCGTCAACACCAGGTCGATTTCTTTTCCGATTACCGCTATCTTGCTGTTCTTCTTCGTCTTCGTCTTCGTCAGCAGCACGGCTTCTCTTCGCAGCCGCAGCCGCAGCCGCACCACCGCTTCTCCTCTTGTCCCTCATTTTTGCCTCCAGAGATGTAATGACCTTCTCCCCAACATACTGCTTCCCTTCCCACACCTTATTGCAGGTAGGACACTGCTTGCTAGGCTTGGAATTCCAGAAGGCCGTTTCACAGATATTATGCAACCTGACATTGCAATTCGAATTCGCGCATCGTAAACCAACAGTAACAATCTCCTTGCAAGCCTCACAGAATTTGATCCTCTGCCAATCATCGTCGCCATCGTCCGTTTCCTCGTTATAAGCATCAACCAGCCAGCTCCGCAGCTCCATCAACGCCCGTGGAGATAGCGTGTAGTACCCATTTCGGCTGTGCTCGAGCCACTTCTCTTTAACCAACCCAGCTAACAGCTTCTCGGCTTGCTCGCCCGTGACGCCCTTGTCTACAGCAAGTTGGCTATGCTCTTCACTATCTCGTCGACCGGAGCCCTTGGTGACCCGCTTCTCTAGCGCTTGCATACCCGTAATTGCCATAACTTCCCTATTCTTCGTATTGTTCGTCTCGAACATAGCATCTAGCAACCGCTTGATATAGAACATCTCTTCGCTTGTTCTCGTAGTCGTCATCTGCGTAAGCGGATCGCTAATACTGTTCACAACCGCATAGATCCGATGCTTCGTGTGCTGGTGGAGCGTGCTGCGAATTTCGTAGTCGAGAGGTGATAGTGCATCAGCTGCAGCGGCCATGTAGGAGTCGATATCTTCTTTCGTTACTTGGGCAGGGGTCACTTCCTGATCTGGGGGGTAGTTAGAATGTATATAGGAGGGGTATGCGGGAGACTGACTTGACTGTGCTGTGAAGATTGCTGCGAGGATATTTTTGCCTTCCTCGACGGTGATTTGGCCGCGGCCCATCAAGGCTTGGAGAAAGGCGCGGTTGGTGTCATCATATTGATCATCAGAATCGAGGTCCATTTTAGTGTATTCTGCTGCGTTGTGTAGTTTTTGAAGGAATAGAGCTGTGGATGGCAGACGCGTCAGAAAATCAGAGGCGACGCGACGAATTGAACACTACAGTAGCGCGGGGTGCGAGGTACAAGGGGGCCAAACCACGAATTCTTTGCCACGACCATCATCTTCTGATCTGTTTGTAAATACTGCAGTCTCTTCTCAAAGCCTTGAAGTTATCATGGACGCGAAAAAGACTCAGTAATGGCCTTCTGATCCACCTTGGATTCCAGAGAGAGCAAAAGCTTGAGAGCAGTGAAATTATCATTATCCTCAAATTTAGTGTGGTGGCCACTCAAGTAGAGTGATGGTCAAAATATTGATGCTGTGGATGTTCAAAGCTTTCATGTCAATGTGTGAAAGCGTTTATAGCTCTCTAGTAGCACATAACCATGCTGCTGTTACAGTACCAGCGGACTTTGCATTTGTTTTTTCCTGACGACTTAGAACATATTCTCCAAATGTTACGTTGGTTTGCATGAAGGAGAATGTCACGAATTCCAGAGAAAATTGGAGACAACTCTCATTATACAGCAAACTCAAGTTATTCTATCTACTCAGCCGTCACAGTGACAGCACTCTTGTCTGTCGAGAGGGTGTTGATTAGCTATAAATTCTCACGTTCCAAAATCCTTGCCTGCAAATAGTCGTATTCGATGGATAGCTTACAGAAAGCAACATAGTCTTTGATATTCTTCGCCTTCTCCTTCGGTTCTGGATAGTACCAGGCAGCGTTCTTCAATTCAGTCTCTATCGTCTCATCAGCCCTCCGTCGTCCAATTTCCAGGGAACTGGACGTACTATCTAGATTGATGCTGTAGTATGCTGCATCACCCTTCCATGGGCAATGGGTGCTGTGGTCTGTCTTGCTCAAGTATGATTGATTGACAGAACTTCAAGGGGAGGTCAGGGGGTCAGTCAGGTCCATACTTCATCTTGGAGGTCAACATACGATGGTGGGAACTGTGAACAATTAAAAACTTGGCTATGGGGTTATGGATATTCTTATATCTTACATAGATGTTTCCTTCGACAGTCTCATACTCATTAGTCTCGGCGATGGTGCGGCCGGATACGACGGCGGTTGCTTTGCCTTTGGTCATTGTATGAATTCTTGATGTGGGAAGTGCTACTGAAGCAATTGTCTTAGGGACTACAAATTTCACGAAGTTCATGAAGCTGATGAAGCTGGGGGATTGATAGATAGTTGTGCGGGGAAGATGTAGCGATGACGGCAGCGCATCACGTGCAATTTCATACTATTCCGTTTTCTTTCGACTTCACCATCCCTTCGTTTGTCTCATAGAAGACATAATATATGTTTGAAGGAAATCATTTCTTAAATGAACCAATAGAGTGAAACGTTCCAAGTGGTTAGAATTTGCTACGGAACTGCAGATGCTTTACTCGATAAGCAACCAACCGCCTCGCTCTACACTTATTGATCTTTCCTTGGTTATTACACGCAGGTATAGAATAAACCAAAAAATTGGCTAAGAAATCCGAAGATATTCCTATCCTTTTATCCATATACCAAAAAACCGTTGACAATACCAAGTTATTGCAAATACCAAAACTCTCGAAAGCAGCTATACACACGGCGGAACATGCATACGAATCACTCCATAAATACACCATCAACAAACCCCCCAAAGCAGCAGTCTGCACTCCCACCAGGCAGCCCCTAAACATACCACCACCTGCCGTTCCAACCCACTACCCCAGACCAAGCCCCCCACTCCAACCAAACACCCACCACGTCAAAACCCCACCCACAACACCCCCCCAAAACCACCACCCCATCCCCCTCCTGATATCACTCACCCCTTCCCCCCACGATCCCTGGCGTCTTCACCTTCGGCGTCCTAGGAGTCTTCGGCCTCGGCGTCAAGATAATCTCCTCCTCCCTCAAATACTCGGCATCCACAAATTTCAATTCCAGGCGTTCCGGTCTCGATCCCCTCCGTCCATCTCCATCTCCATCTGCATCTCTTTCTCCATCTCCGAGAAATAGATTCGTAGGCAGGGATTTCGATCTCGCTACCCTGTTGTTGTAATCGGGATCGGGATTAGAAAGAGATACTGGTGATAGAGATGCGCAGTCCGGACACGGCGTCCCCTCAGTCGTGAAAGCAGCGTCTGAGACTCTGGTGCTGGAGGTGCAGGTCCGGGAGCCACAGGGGGCGGTGAGGAGGTGGATGTGCTTACACGCGTAGGTTGAGTACTTGGCTTTGATACACATATTAGAATATTCATACGTTTTTTCTCTTCGTCCCGGTTAAGCTGAATTGGAGATCTGGGTAGGTAGGGTTTAGGTATTGGGGATCGTTAGTCAAATGCAGGAGGGCTTGACGTGGGATTGTGATTTATTTGTTCTTTGTTGTATTTGTTGGGCCCGGGTTCGTGAAAGATGCTTTCGTACGTACACGGTGGGTGGGTAAGTGCTCTTTGTCTTTGTCTTTCGCCGCACCGGTATAAGTGAGGATCGATTGATTCTTTGGCATAAAGCGCGCAGACGCTAGCCTGTTTCCTTCCTTCATTCTCTATTCCTCTCTCTGGCTCGGCAGGAAAAGGAAAGAAAAGATGGGTAATTGCTCAACCGAGATATTGTATTTGTAGCCAGCTGGAAAATAATGGTCGACTAGTCGTCGTACAGACAACAAAACCATTCATTAAAAGGAAATCCCATAATACAATTCCTCGTGCTAATTTTAAGATCTACCTGGAGAGTGACTTACTTTCTATCAAAATATAAATCAAGGGTACGGACGCCATAAGGATCGGAGGATTAACAAAAGACGATAACACGTTATTGCTACAGTATTACTATTCTTACCCTAGTATATATCCAAAAGAAATTAAACAGCGGATGCGTGCCCTAAGGTACTGTACGTAGGTAACTACTACCCTAAGAAGCAGTATTTATCGAATCTTTCGTTTGCTCTCATTCGATCGCTTTCTCCATTATAGATACTATACTGTAGGAACTAGGAACTCGGAAATATCAAGAACTGTTCTTGCATATCTATCATCTAGCTAGCTGCTAGATATAGTATAACAAAGGAGTGGCTATATAGTATGGCTTCAGAATAACAAATCTGCAACGAACCGAATGAAATTGCCTGAAGCGTGCGGAGAGTAGTTGGTTTGTTTGTTTGCTTAATCGGGATTTTGGCACTTGCCGAAAAACACTAATTAGAGTATGCAGGAAGAGAGATATATATAGAGAGAGGAGGGGTGGGGGAGGCGGTCGGGGAGTAGGGTCGGGTAGAGAGACGGATCTGAGCGAGGAAAGGGGAGAGGGAGGGGAGAGGGAGGGGAAGAGGAAAAGTAAATATGGTTTCTGTTCATGAAATTATGATTATGAAGAAGTGGATATTGTGTAACCTCCAGCGCCATCGCATCCCATGCCATACCATGCCATCTACCTATCTATCTATCTATCCCCACCCCGCCCCGCATACAGAGCAATAATATACAAATCAAATCTCATCCCTACCTACCCATCAAAAACCCCATGCTGCAACTCAACCCCAAACTGATCCTTGGCAAGAAACCTCATCTGCTTTTCAATATCATCCTCCATGCCCTTGCCAAACCCAAACCACTGCTTCAACTTACTAGTATAAAACACCACATCGCTACTCAGCAGCACGAACCGAAACAGTACATGCCTCCACCCGTTCACAAAGCGCTCAGCAAACGACAAATCCTTACTATCGACTAGACTCCTACTCGCCCAGCTGCCCGTCATTTTGATGCGATTTACAGGGGAGCCGAGGAACTGGTTATTGCCTTGCACGATGCGCATGTTGCGGCCGATGAAGATCAGCTCGCGCGGGAAATTCTCTTCTTCCGACAAGATGTCGCGGATGCCCTGGCGCATGCGCTCCTGCACCTCGAAGTGCCTCTCAGCGGGCGTTTTGCCTTTCAGGTCCCTGGTTATGCGCTCCCGTGTACTGCTGTCTCCGCCCTCGTACGGCTTCATGAGCGTAGCGCTTGCGAAGAGATCGGGGGCTTTGACGCCCCATGCACTTGTTACTTCGCTGAGTGTCGCGTTGTCGAACGTCATGATTGCTTTCCAGAACTGGCAGTACTGGTGGCGGAACGCGGGCGTCATGGAGACGTAGAGGCCGTGGTCGATTAGTACTAGTTCTGAGTGGCCGTTGGGCTTGCGGCGGATGAAGATGTTGCCTGGATGGGGATCGCAGTGCACGAGACCCCAGAGGAACATCTGTGCAGAGAAGAGATCGACCATTGTTGTCATTACTTCTTTCAAGGAGAGGCCGAGGCCGCCTTTGCCTGAAGGTCCTTTCCATTCGTTGCGCTCTGGTTTGAGGTTTCCGGTTCCGTCGTTGGGGGGCAAGGGGGGTGCGGAAAGGGGTGTCCTGTCTACACCGGGTGAGCCACCGCTTCCTCCTCGCCAGGGTCCGCCCAGAGCTTCTTTGTCCCAGAGACGGACTCCTTCAATCCATTCTGCGGTCATGATCCTTTTGGAAGATAGCTCTCGGTAGACTTTGGGGATATAGACACGTCCTCGTAATCGGGGCTCTCCAGCTACTAGTTCTGCCATCTTTACTGAGTTGTCGGCTTCATTGACAAAGTCGGTTTCCAGCATTAACCGTTCTGTGATGTATGGGACTAGATTGTAGAGAGGGAGGTCAAACCAGTAGGTGTAGACTTTCATTACAACCCTAGTAAAATTAGTAAAAAGTCCTACAAATTTGGACCTTTCTTACCTGAAGGACCATAAATCCCACCCCACCTGATGGGCGATCTCCCTCTTTTGTACCTTAATCGCAACCTCTCTTCCATCTGCCAACCTCGCCCAATGAACCTGAGCTACAGATGCTGAAGCTTTTGCCTTCTTCTCCATAACTCCCTTCCCAGGCTCATTCGAAAAAGAAACACCGAATACCTCTTCTGGACTCTTGCCAAAATCTTCCCGTATAACCTGTTCCACGTCCGCCCAGTCATTCTGCGGCGCATCATCAAACATCCTCGAAAACATCTTCTGGAACTCTGGTGGCAGAACCGCACTCTGCATAGCAATCGCTTGTCCAATCTTCAAATACAGCCCTCCATTCTGATGTAGTAGTTCGAACAACCTCTCGGCGTTCCTTCTATGCAGGTCTTCTATTGTACCAATAAATGGGTAGGGCCGAAAGTTGAGTTTGTAGTCTATTGCCACAAGCAGACCTAGACTGAATGTTCGCAGAGATCGAGTAATTGCGGAGGCGTAGATTTGGGTATCAATTAGGTATAAAAGTCCTGTGACCGCAGAGACGTATAGTAACCTCTTGCCCCATTTTATAGAACGTCGATACTGCTTTGGCGGAGCAGGTTTTCCCAGAGATTCGGGAGTAGGAGGAGCAAAGCCTTGATATCGTTCGGTTTGTATAGAGCGTTTTGCGAATTTAGGGGTGGACTTGTTCCGAATGGCTATTGTGGATGTATTCGAGGAAAGAGAACGTGTGCCATGATTGACTGTTCGAGAAGAGAAATGCGAGGGTAGAGAAAAGGAAGATAGCGACAGCTTTGGATTAGGTCTACATTGGGCACTGAAGTTGCGCAGACTCTGTCCTGCTACGCGCAGTGACATACCTGGGGGTGAATATTGGGGTTCAATAAAGAACCATGAAGCTGAAAGAATATATATCAAGTCTTCGTCCCAAACGAGATTTGTTGCCTACCGTATTCCGATCTTATCGCCGGCGGGCGTTATCGGTCCGGAGACGGTGAATAGTTCAGCCGACTTCCCCCCCTTTCAAGACTTCAAGAAGCGAGAGGGACGATGTTCCAGTACAAAGTACTCAATCTCTGTTTTGAAGCTGGTAACTCTGCGTACCTTATGTACTGTAGCCATTCCAGCATTGCGTCAGACAGAACTCCCATTCTCCTATTTGCTGATGGGATCATTGGAACCGCGTGTCACCAGGTGAAACGAGTCTCAGGCAAGGTAAGGAAGGAAGGAAGCATGGCCAGTGAAAGGTTTGCCGCTGGCGAATATAATAATACAATATTCCCGTCGACTTATGTTCTTAACAACCTGCGTTGCCAAGGAGGGAGTAATCAAGCAGTTGGTACGAAGTACGAAGTACAGGACAATCAAAAACTTATATCAGTTTATCCAGAGCGGAAGATATGCAGTTGCACAGGACATGTTTTAATTGGACCTATGGGCAGGGATATATCCTCCACGCATGGTGATTGGGACAAGATCCCGGGATAAATGCATGAAATGCATCGCATCTTTTAAAACGATAACCGTCGCCAGCTTCCGCAGCATGCTGCAATACGAACGGACGGTAAGAATAATAACACGAGGGCGTGACAACTAACAACTGCTTGCTGGAAAGAACAATCGATGGGATGGAAAGGGAAACCGCATATTGATCAAACCATTCCTATAATCTGCTGTTATCGTGGTGATCAGATTGTATGATCTAGTGCAAGAAGTCTAGCGATGCGGAAATTGCAGTATATGATCTGATACAAAGTGGATATTTCACCGGTAGGGTAGTAGTGATGATGTTGGTGCTGGAGAGTCTGTTTGCTGAATATGATGTTTGCCATAAGTCCAGCAGTCCAGTTGATGATAAAAGTGATGTCGTCGCCTCTAATGCTCATACCAATCATTGCAATTGCATAGGCCAACCGCGTACAAGACCGTGGCTGAGGCCGTTGCTACTCATTCTTGCATGCATCGCAATCGCAATCCACAACCTTGATCCACCCAAGAGGAGGGGCGAAACAAGATCTGGTCGAGTCCACCAGGCCAGGTCTAGTCCATGGTAATTTTGGGTCCTGCGACACAGAGTACACAGCACAGCACAGCTTTCTTTCAACCTTCAACCTTCAACCTTCAACCTTCTTCACCAATACCTACCTCCCCTACCTCCTCCCTACACCACGGCGGCGGCCTGTCTAATCCGCGCACTCGATATATTCTTCGTTATTACTTCTTTCTTCTCTAGTATCCGTACTATAAGGTTTGCTGGCCGTTCCTCCTTCTATCCAATCCCTGCAACGCTTCGGACACGCCATACACACACACTGTGGCTTGGGCGAGGGCGAGGCCTGTTTATTGGTACTCGACCACATCGAACGTCTGCAGGACCTGACTTGTAGATAACGGACTCCACCGCTATAACCCAAGATAGAAACAGGCAGGCTCTACCTACGGCCCTACCGTGCAGTACTAAGGTAGGTACCTACCCTACACTACTTTCTAGTGCACCAATACCAACTCTTTCCCCGCCAGTAGTGCTAGAACGGTGGAAAGTCTACTCAGATCTTGGTTCCCCAGCCCAGCGCCCACACCACGCTACTCTGCCAACTTCGACTTCGACTTCGACTTTGACTGCCACATCACTTCACATTCCATTGAGTCCAGGAGACGGATTCACTTTCAACAATATTCGGCCTACCATTTGCGCGGACCAATGCGATCGCGAAGGCACCCCCATTTCGATCACCCCCAATGCAATCCTCTATCTAAGACTTCGAACATCCCTACAAACATCGCGACATCGACTAATCGCGCATCGTGAATCCCACTCTACCTTCAACCGCCGCGTCTTGACGACGCCGGCACCCACAATCTTTTCGACACGACGAGCCTCACGGTTTCAAGATGTTGCGGCCGGCGACGCCTCTCACCATTTTGCTGTTCGCAGCATTCGCTCTGCTCTTAATTTCGGTCATCTCAACCCCAATCGTGAAGGGTATACCTCTGGCTTCCTTCGGTGGGGTTGATTTCGGAGTCTTTGGTTTCTGCAAGACAGGCGGCACATGTAGCAGTATCGAGATCGGATACGATACGAGTGAGTGGGCGATTGTTAAATATATGTCGAGACGAGTCTCCACGCAATATCTACCCTGCAACCTTCTCGATGTTCTATAGATATAAATGCTAATCATCCAATGTATAGCTTCCCTATACAATGACGCTCAAGCTTCAACCTTCGACCTCCCGACCGGGACGCGAACTACCCTCTCAGCGATTCTCATTGTCCACCCTATCGCCGCCCTCTTCACCCTCATAATGCTATGCATGGCAGGAGCGGCACATCTCCATTCCCCGTCGCATTCTCCACGGTACCTTCTTGGAATATTCATACTGAGTATTCTAACTTTAATATGCTCCCTTCTCTCGTTCCTGATAGATGTCCTACTTTTCGTACCGCATATGGCATGGGGATCCTACATTGTTTTAGCAGCAACAATTCTCATCGCCGCCAGCGGGATTGTCTCCTGTGCCATGCGCCGGACTTTGGTTAGTCGGAAAGCCCGAAAGCGTCGTATTGCGGAGAACGCAGAAATGAATGGGGAGAACTTTTACAATCGTCAAGATGTGCCCGCACCTGTTGCTGTTCCGACTGCGCCTATAATGGTGAACGGTGCTCCTGGAGGTGATAAGTTGCCTTCGTTTGCTACATTCGAGACGCAGAAGGAAAAGGAGAGGACGAGTGATGAACGAATACCATTAACCCAGATGACTCCATCCGAACACTCCCCCAACAACGAACCGAGATCAATGGAAAGTGACCGATATGGGGGACCACCAAGGAGTCAAAGTAGAGGAAGAGGAAGCCCTCCTAGAGATCAATATGGCAATGCAATGCCGCTACCACCTCCAGGAAACTATGGAATGAGGAGCAGAGATCCATCTTTGGACCGACAGTACTCTGATCCTGCTGCTATGGGAGGAAGAGGAATTCCTCCAGGGGGCTACAGAGGCAGAGGAGGGTATGGGCCACCGAATGGACGAGGAGGATATGCACCACCAAGAGGGGGCTATGGGCCACCAAGAGGCGGATATGGACCCCCGAGGGGCGGAGGACCTTATAGAGGTGGAATGAGCGAACCGTTAGCTGCGATACCAGGTGGAATGGCAGCAGGAGCTATGATGCGAGGTGGGAGAGGTGGACCACCACCAGGATATGGAGTACCACAGAATGGCCGAGGAGGTTATAGAGGTCCATCTCCAGGAGGCAATTACCCGCGAAGACCTTCACCCCCTCAAGCGCCTGGCTATGGTGCGGAAACCTATACTGCGCGTGCACCCCCTCCAACTGGCCAGTATGCCGCATACAATCCAGATGATAGCCGCTCCAGTCTTCCAAGAGCCGAATCTCCACCACCTATGTCAACACTAGAAGGGCCTGTCGGACAGGCTGTGGAGATGGATGCCAGCACTGGAAGTCCTTCTCACGCACCCAAGGGATACGGACAATTCGGAGCGTTACGAGACAGTGATGGTGATGTGGCTGGAATGGTCGGGCTTCAGCAGCAACGAGTACAAAGGGATGCAGTCGTGAGTGAATCAAGTAGATATAGCACTGACGAGTAAGTTGCAGCAATCACATGACGAATACATCACTAATAAATCTAGATATGTACCTCCACGTCAAGGTTGGGGAGATGCTGGCCGATCGTCACCTCTCAACCCAGCTTCGCAACCCAATGAACTTCCAAGCTCAAGAGGCCATAAACGTATCAGCTCTGCCGGCGATAATTACTATGAAGACATTGACCCTCGCTTCGCCGACAATCCACCATCAACACACCCCTCTGCTGTTCCCGCAGCCCTTGCTCCAGCAGGTGGTTTTCCCCTGAACACCTCGACGGGTAGTCTACATCCCATCGGTGGCATGGACGGAAACAATTCGTACGAAGACATACAATCCGGTGCCCGTAGCCCAGCGGAGTCAGACCGATCAAACTTCACTTCGGTCTCGCAGCGAGGCATCAACCCGCGGTGGAATCCGGGACCAGGACCAGGTCAAGGATACGGAGGCCCGATGCCAAACAGACGTCCTACAAATCCACCCCAACAACAGCAGAGAGATCTACTCCTAAACTCCAACCCTGATTTCCAACTACCAACCGGCAGAGGCCGCGGTGGTGCGCCTGCTGGAAGAGGCAGAATCCCAGGTGGAATACCGGGAATGGTCCCTTCGAGCGCATATCCAGGCGGCAGTGCCCTTTAATTCTCTTCATCCTTCACCCTTAACACTGCGAAGCGAACATCCGAGCATAGCATAAGCTCCCTTAAGCATTTCCACACAATCGGAAAATTTCCTTTTCTGATTTTTACATACCCGACCGCGTACATAATAAGCTGGCGATCCGATCCGAATTGCCTTTCTTCCCTTGGCTGCATTCATTCATTATTCTGTTTTTACTTTGTCGATAGAGGCTGCTGGCTGCTGGCGTTTTCAGTGCTGTGCTGCGAAACTTACCACTAAAACATCATATCGATGATGTGCTTGTGATTGAACGGATTGATACATGCATTTGCGATTGCGATTGCATCTGATTTTTCTCTTTTCTGTGTATTGTATATATGGATGGCCATGCGTGGTGTGACATGGTTACTATTTTGGCATGATATGGTCGCATTGTGGCATGGATGGATGGATGGATGGTTTGCGTAGTTAGCGGGTCTTTCTTGCCTTTGCCTTTGTATGTGGAGGGATTATACGACGTGGAAGATGGGATGTGTGATGGATGGGATGTGGAGTTGGATGGATGGGTTGGTGGGGGGGTGGGAGGCGGATTCATAGGCAATGAAAGTCGTACGCTATTCCGTGAGTATTAATTGTGTCTATTGTGACCATTACGGGGTGTCGAATACGACTTTGTGGGGATGGTTTGCGCTGGTTGTGTAGACTTGGTAGGATTATATGGCGAGCTTACGGAGTTCGCAGGGGAGAAGAGAAGTAAATATCACGTGATTTGGAGGGCGGGTTGGATTTGAGGGGGGAATGGGGATGGGGATGGGGATGGGGACAAAGATAGGGATGATAAGTTAGACTTAAACTTAAGAAAGGTTATGTATGATCTGGCCTGTAGATAGATAATTGAGAAGAACAGACCTCCAGGTCCAAAAAGATCATGTGGGTTCTTTTTGCAAGCGCAGCGGACGAGACGATTAGTTTTATCTCCGCGAGGACGCTAAAGACCCCTATTGATACCTAGGCCTGGGCAGGGTAGCGACGGGACGGGCATTTTGTTCCTGGTGTGTTCTACGGTAGCATGGGTTTACAGTACGGCAGTTGTCGCAGTTGTCTTTTAGGATTGCAGATAATAATTAATACATCTTCTATACTCGTATACTTTTTAAATACTTAGAAGGTTAGGTACGCAGAAGTGGCAAGTAGTGTAAGAAATAAACATGCATGGCTGCAATATACTTTCCATGTGCAAGCTCTCATCTGAAACGTTGGAAAGAACAAGACTAGATTCAGGGTATTGGCATGAGGACGCAGCGATTGGTCACTTCAGATATGGCTACAGGCCCTGACCCTGACCCTGACCTAGCCGTTTCTCTCCAAGCAAATCTCGGGGCCCCTGAACGGCTGCATGGATGTCGGTGTCCTTACTGTATAGTACTGTACAGTAGTAGAGGCTTGGACCTGATTACTGACCCGGCTCAACCTGAGGTGAGTGAGTGATCGGTCTATCTATCTGTAGCTGGATCTGCCTGTGTCTATCTTTTTCGTCTGTATCTGCACTGTATCTGCACTGTATCTGGTCATCCAGCCAGTTCGTGATACCTTCATCCTTTCACAACTCTACATTTACCCCCTCCCTTTCCCTTTCCCTTTCTTTCACACGGCCGTCGTGACTAGGCGCAGGCTCAGGTTCCTTCCGACGCCGCCTTGACTTCTTTTTCTCACAGCTCAACTCACGCGCAACTTCTATCACGCCCGCCAGCTCGGTCTCGCGCGACAACCTCCTTTATTCAGAACAGTAGCTCGAGTCTACTTGCCATCGCAGAACATACCGCACTTGTACATCGTACCTTTCCATATCTTGGTCTCATTGAGTACTTTCTACCAGTGCATCCATTGCACTGCATTGCATTTCACTGCACTCACTGCACGCGACAATCAAACTCTGGAGACCGGCATCGAAACCACCAATTTAATCTACGCATTCACCAAGCAGCTTCTCCTTCTCCAACAGACCTGATCTATCACCGTTTCGTTTGACTGGCAGCAAACCACAAACCACAAACAAATTACCTATCTTCCACCCCAATTCAATCGCAGCCAATTCCCTGTCGCTTCTCCGACACCACCATATCCAATCAATCAACATGGTCAGCACAAGTCGGCCCAGGACGCCTTCGGCATCAACTGGTGGAACTTCTCCTCCAGACAAGCTGGCGCCAATACAAGAAGCTGGGAAATCGCATCCTCCACGTCGCTCCAGTTTGGGTCTTTTGCTACGTCGCACAAAGTCAATTGAGTTCAAGGGAAACAAGAAGCAACAAGCTCTGCGAGAGCAGGAACTCCAACGTCAACGCGAAGCAGCCGCAGTCCCCAAGAACCCGCCGCGCCTTCCCAACCTCTACAACGGTGCAGCTGCTCCGAAATTCGACAACTTTGGAGGCGACGAAAATACTCGACCAGACTCTGTTGCGATTGCGACTGGAAAGGCAGGTCAATACGGCAGACGCTCAATGGAGCCCGGTCGTTCATCAACCGCCACTGGCAGTGTGCCAATACCCCCAATTCCGAACAACAGCAGGAATGGCGACTGGGTGGATCCATACGCTCGTACTGAAAGTATGACCCACCGTGGTCGGTACAGTTACGCTAGCAGCGCTGTGAGCACCATCAACAGTCCTCGCAGAGTTAGGAGACGAAAGGATCCAACTCCATTCAAGTAAGATACTCGCCTCACCTTGCAGTCATGAAACTGACCATCCCAGTATCCTGATCATTGGCTCCCGCTCATCCGGCAAGACTTCATTCCTCAACTTCCTCAAGACCTCCCTAGCACTTCCAGCTAAAAAGAGAAGCGCCCGCCCCACCGGATCTGAAGATGTCTTTGCCCCACAAAGCCAAAAGTCGGGAAACTTCATATCACATTACCTCGAGACTGAGATTGATGGAGAACGAATTGGTCTTACCTTGTGGGATTCGGAAGGATTGCAAAAGAATGTTGTTGATCTACAACTCCGCGAGATGTCTTCTTTCCTGGAATCCAAATTCGAAGAGACCTTTACAGAAGAGATGAAGGTCGTGCGAGCTCCAGGAGTCCAAGACACTCATATCCACTGCGCCTTCCTTATTCTCGACCCTGTTCGAATTGACCAGAATATTGCAGCTTCGCAAGCAAGCACGTTGAATGGAACCGGTGCAAATGGCAAATACAACTCCCCTCGCGTGATTGGTGGTCTGGATGAAGATCTCGATCTGCAAGTACTGCGCACACTACAAGGCAAGACAACAGTTGTTCCAGTAGTTTCCAAGGCGGATACAATCACAACCGCTCATATGGCATTCCTCAAGAAGACCATCTGGGAGAGCATGCGGAAAGCCAATCTTGACCCTCTTGAGGCGCTCGGTTTGGATGAGGTTGAGAGCGAGGCTAGCCCGATAGAATCCACCCGTATTGAAGAAGGTGACGAGGAGGCCTCTGACAAGGACTCTGAGACTGAAGAAAAGGACACTGCAGAAGAGGTAGTCCCAGCTTCCCCAACCCCTGAGCCATCCTCCCCTGGCTCGAAGCGCATGTCATCAGGTTCTGTTCGCCGTCATAAGCGCAATGATAGCGGGTCGTCTGCTCCTGAAGTATCATCATATCTCCCTCTCTCGATCATCAGTCCAGATATCTACGAACCAGGTGTTATTGGTCGGAAATTCCCCTGGGGATTTGCTGATCCAATGAATGCCGAGCATTGCGATTTCGTTCGATTGAAGGAATCAGTATTCAGCGAGTGGCGTGGAGAACTCCGCGAAGCAAGCCGAGAGCTGTGGTATGAAGGATGGAGAACCAGCCGACTTAAGCCTCGTGATGCCAAACCTGCACCAAGACGATGATCTATTCATGTATGCATGTCTCTCTACATCAGGACCTGCTTTGGAGTTCATGGAGATACAAAATTTCGGTTGCGAATTTTTCCTTTGTTCAGCTGCATACCCCTTACTTTATTTTCCGCGTTCGTCTCACCCATCATGCACCTTTCCAGCGCTTCATATCGATATGATACAGGGGGGTAATTTGATTCGAGGATTTGGTCAGTTCTTCTTGCGTTGCGCTGGCCGCGCTTTTCTGCTTCTGTTTTACTACAATCGACGTACAATTTTAGGGGATGTGGCAATACGATATTCAGGAGCGATGGATGGAAGAAGAAGCAGAAGCGGACATATGGATGGATGGAATGGAGCAAGCAAGCAAGTAAATAAATTCTAAGCTCGTTCTCGTTCTCGTTGCTCCGACTCTGGAGTTGAATTGAATTGAATTCAAGTTGTCACATACATACGTACAGTAGCAGGCAGGCGATGGATACATTGTACCGTATCGTGTGTATGTATGTATGTATATTTTGTTATGATATGATATGTTTTACCTGGTGTACTATATGTATATGTAAAGAAAGCAAGAAAGGAAGCAAGTATACCTACCAGCCCTAGGTACCTATATACCTTTTCCTACGAGTAGCAATACCTTTTATCTGCCGTCACAACAATAAGGAAGGCATCCGCATAAGATAAGTTAAACCTCAACTTCTACCAAGTCGATTTCCCTCCTTTGTTTCAAGGCCTTTTTCTACCCTGAATGCTTTTCGCCCTCAACCTCGAGCTTGCGAGAGGGATACCGGCTCTGAATACGGATATAGCTCCTGCTTACTACCTGAGCTAGGCGTATATGAAGATATGTATACCCGGGTTGGGTTAGTAGATGCTACAGAGGAGGATTAAG